CCTCTGCCCCAGGAAAGCCTACACAGAAGCCATGATCTGCACTGAACAGTTGAATCTGAGTATTTAGTCATCACACTGTCTGCTCATGCCCGGATTTACAAAAGACACACACACAAATCTCAGTAGTCAAGTGATTCTGTGGATTAGCTGATACCATGACATCCAGGTGTCATCACATACCAGGCCCCACTCAAGAGATAAGGCCATCAGCTCCTGTGCCCTTAAACTGGGCCTGATGCAAACATTCTATGCAGCTTCATTACCTGTGATTCTATGCAGCATCACTTACTTGTCAGCAAAAGGAAAGAGGAAAAACAAGCCTGAAGTCTCCACATACCACAATACATTTCTGCTTGCAGTACAGAGCTCCACTGGCCTACAGCTGAAACAAAGATGAAATGGAGCAAGAGATCCAGGCAGCTGCTGAACGGCGAGCTGAAGTGAGATGCTGGAAGCAGGGTGAGTGACAGCATTTACTGGCGCAGAGGAGCTCAATGTCGACAGGCGCCGCACAGCTCTGGCATTTAGGGAAAGAGCAGCAGATGGACCAAACTGATGCACACCTATTAGGAAGAAGTGGCTGGCTCTGAGCAACAGTGCTGTGCGGGCTAGGAAGTGGAGAGGCATTGGAGCACACAGGGACAGGGCCGGGACACCAGGGCGATGGCCACAAACCCAGGGGTAAGTCTTGACACGGACAGAGCTGAAAGGGCCGCTGTTCCGTATCACAGGCCTCGGGTGCAGCCACACCCACGGAGAGCAGTGCTGTCAGCGCTGCCACTTACTCAGGAAAGGCGGCTGATGCCAGCTGCTTGAGAACACTGGAAATTAATTAGCTCATGAGTTCCTAGAAATACATTCAAAATCAATGACTATTTCAGTATTTTTGGACCTAAAAGTCATATTTTGAAAACATCATAAATTCTATACTTCTTCAAAGTATATAATGGTGCGTTATTATCAGAGTGCTTCTATGGCAATAACTATGCTTCATGAAGATGCTCATTTGTTTTTAAACTGTTACTATCTCTCTATTACACTCAGTTTATTGACACAGCATTAGAGATAATAGTTTTTGAATACAGGGCAAAATTAGGAAGTTGCTCACAAGGTCAACATTAGGAAGTCAAGGTGTTGTGTTGGAGAAAGAAAACACAGGACCAGAAGCTTTCTACAAACAAGAGCTATAGAGCATGCCAAGTTCCCTTAGGATGACCATGAGCTTGGGAGGAACATGTTGTGGTTATCACTAAATGCTGAAGGTTTTTAAGAAAAGGAAAATAAAGGGACTTTTATATATGAAGTGCCCATATCTTGGGCCTCACATTTCCAGCTTTCTTGATATTTATTGAACTAAATGTAAGAAACAGCTTAAATTATAGCACAGATTTATGTAAAGCACACAAAAGAGTAATTTTACTGAGTTGCTGAAAGCTCTTGACTAAAACTAGCTCACAGAGAGGTGGAGCTCAGGCAAATAGCAGGCATTTAATAAATACTCCCTGAGTGAATGAAGAAACTGAGATAGCCTAAATACAGATCAAGAGCAACATGGATTGAGGCCACTTGAAAGCCAAAGGCCATTTTAAACGGAAACTCACAAGCAGAGTTGAAGGAAAATGGGTCTGTTCCAAATCCTGGCTTTCCAGGTTCCACCAAATGGAAAGGACCATTAATCATACACCAATTAAAAAAAAGAATCCTATGATAAACCATAATGGAAAAGCATATTTTTAAAAAGGCTGTGTGAAAAATGACAACTAATGAGAATTTTCAAACATCCTTAGATCCTATTACTCTAAATGCACTTCAGGTAATATAGTGACCCAGAGAGTTAAAATAATTTTTAAAAAAGCTACATGCACTGCTGCTTTCTTCCTCCTCTGATAACTGCTAGTCTTTCTTCTTCCTCCAGGAGAGGCCAGATAATGGAACTCTGTCAGAGGTTCACCTTGTCTCTTCCTTCGAGCAGGTCACCGTGTTGTTAATGTCCCCCATCCCGCTTTCCTTACAGCGTCCCCGCCAGGTTGGTCCCTGGGGATGGGACAAAACGTGATGACACTGGCACAGTGTTCATAGGATCAGCCACCACCACGGGAAGATGCAAGTCTGGGTGCACCTTCGGCAGGACAACCAGCAGGAGGGATGGAGCGTGCGGCTGCACAGGGGAGTGTGCGATGGGACTGTGTCTTGAGGAACATGTTAAAAGGCGTGGTGCTTCCCCCTGATAACAAGGTTGTATACAGAAAGGATAGAGCTGAAAAGTGTGTGTTTGGAACACATGCAACTTTGTGGACAGGATATAGTCTTGTAGTGAGGGTATCGTTTTGCTCAGGTTATATAATTGATCGTCTCTGTGAGTTCTTGGATTGAATGGGTACCTTTGGGTTCTAACAGAGCTGGGCCATAAACACATTGCCTACCTAGCTATTCAGAGCTATGACAAACTCTGAGGTAAAGAGAAAAAGAGTACAGTCATTCATATGAATAAATATATTAGGGTCTTCCTGAAAGACAGTGCACTGATAAATGCAGCGATCCCTACACAATCATATCATCACCATAGTAAATATGTTAAAAACATTTGGCAGTTTTATATACCACCTGTCTTAAGTAAAAAATGACAGCCTGAGTGATCGTTCAAAGGGTCTTCTAGACTTAATGTTTTCTGTTGTCATTCAATATTAAAAAGGTTAACTGCCAAAAGGCTTACTGTATGAGTCTTAAAACACGAATGAAGCCTAATGTGTTGTATCTACGACTCTGTGGCCACATCCACCCTAGGAAAATGAAGCAGAAACTTAAATTTATTCATTGAGTTAAAGGAAATGAACCAAAGCATTTTGGCCTCAGTTATCAGCAGGACATTTCTTTCGATCTCAATATTATGCTTAATTTCTCTAACATTTGGTGTGTGAAGACTCAGCATAACTCTAAAGACAAATACTATCTCAATTTGTGAAATCCCAGAAGAAAGATGAAACCCATATCATTGTGATTTCAAGAGAAGAACTGTTTTCTGAACAGTACTGACATAATGTCATTTCACCAAGTAAATATACACTATAAATGTGAGACTGTCAGGGACTCTACTTATATATTGACATTTTCACAGATTAAAAGCAATCATCCTAAATTAATATGCAGCATAGAGAAGAGTGTATTCAGGTAAGAAAGACCACATATTGTGATCACCTAAGAATAAACATATTCCTTGGAGGCTGACTTGCATATAGTAAGGTTTTGGTATTTTAATTTGATTCAGTTATTTAAAGATTCAGTTTCACCAGTGGATAATGCACAAGTTATTTCTTCCTTTTGATTCTTGCTCAAGAGAATAATGTAAAAGTCATATAAACATTTTGCTTGACTGAAAAAGCTAATGAATCCAAGATACTTATAAAGATGATGCTTCTGAATCACTGGGAAAGCTTATTGGCACATCTGCTTAAAAAAAAATCTTTTTATCTAATATGACTGGCATGAATGATTCACAAAATTACTTCAGTTCAAATTTTAGCTCAGAGGCAAGAGAGAGATGAATAGACCTACCAAATAAAATCCTTTATACAGCTATCCACCTTTCCATTGTAAAAAATAATGACTGACTCCCTTTAGAAGAGCTAGGTCAGTACGCTAGTAATATAAAGAGAGACTACACTTCAATAGTGTCAGCTGTTCTGTTTGACCAAAGAAGAAGTCTGCAGAGGTGACTTGTGGTCTAAAGTCATTTTAATTTTCCAAATTGCCTATATGTCTCCTTGACCTGAGAATTTCCAGGTTCTTTATTCTACAACATGAAAACAAATTTTCAAAATTGTATCTTACCAATGCTACCTAAGAATGAAAGCCTATGGTGATACTTTTGGTGATAGGTAATAATGTTTCCAGATAATATTTAATTATCTGATGAATCATTCCTCTTAATTTGTGTTTTACACTTCTTTTCCTTTAATACTTCTATTTTAAATATCCCTGTTTTTACCATTCTTTTTCTGGAATCACTTTCAGACAGCAGCCTGTAGAAATTGCAGTTACATACAGTAAATTGAAAAAAATGAGTATAAAATTGCAGAAAAATTGCAGTGGAAGAATCTGCCTGACAATGCAGGGAACACAGGGTTGATCCTTGGTCTGGGAAGATGCCACATGCTGTGGGACAGCTAAGCCCACGCTCCACAACTACTGAGCCCATGCGCCCTAGAGCGCACACACTGCAATGGGAAAACCCACTGCGATGAACGGCCCGTGCCCTGCAACTAAGCAGCATCCCCTGCGCCACAACGAAAGAAAGCCCAGATGGAGCAGCAGAGACCCAGTGCAGCCAAAAATGAATTTAAAAAGAAAAAACACAATTGCTGCAAGATTAACTTCTAAAACAACCCTGAGGCCCAAAACAAGAAAATTATAATTGCCAATGTGTGTTTAGTATGTGTGCAGAGGCACGGAGAAGACGCCAGGAAGGACACAGTCAGTGACTCCTATATGGTGTGAAGAGAGCCTGAGGATGGAGTGAATGGCGAGTGAGCTGAATGGAGATCAAGACTATAGTAGAAAAGTGCAAGAAAATCTAGGTTTAAAAGGCTGCCAATTTCTGAAGCCCACTGGAGACCACTGAAAGTTTAGAAAAAATGGTTATGCTCATACTCCATTTTCGAATATAAGTTATTTTCTAGTCAGGCATAAATCTTTTGTATTACCTTTTAGACGGATATATTGACAATTTGATATTATGATCCCAAACACTCATTACTAGTTTTAAATCACAAAATTCTTGAATATACTACATGTTATATATTGTTTCAAGATAGAGAAAATAATATGAAGAAAATGGACAAAATCAGGATATATAATTAAAATAATGTACTTATTAAAAGAAAATTACTTTTGTGTTGTAGAATAGGCCTAGTTCCTAAACTTCTTAGTTATTTGAAATAAATACTTGTCTTCTGATGTATGTGTAACTGAGTTGGGATTTTCTATTTCTGGTTTAATCATACCTTTCACGTCTTCATCCTCAATTGTTGTATTTGAACTCTCAGTTGATTCCTGTTGAGAAGAAAACACATTTAAAGTTGCAAATCATGAATAGCTTGACTTTTCTTTTTTTAAAAAAACTGGCGAGTGATGTATGTATCATGCAAAATTCTTCAGCAGGCTGTGTGCATATGCTGACATGCAAATGGACAAATCTGTTATGTGGTCTGAACCGAAAAAAAAAGCCAAATGCTGCAAACATTTCAAAAAGGAGTACTCTGGTTGCCTACTTCCTGAAGCATGATAAACTGAGGCAATGTGTAGAAGCAGCCAAAGTATGCACCTTATTTTAAGAGCTGTGTAAGGATGTGCTGTGTTACGGTGCCCGGCAAGGCGTGCTTCCATAAGGACTTATGAGGAGCTGAATATACTAGCCTAGTGAATTTGAACCTTAAAAGGAACTTTTTCTATTCCCAAATAATTAGCAATTAGCCCCCTCTTTGTCTAAGGCATGACATCAAGCAGTAAATTTGTAGGCTATTTATCAGCCTGACTTCTTTGTAGAGAGAAAAAGCATTTCATTGAGTCATTTGATGAAAAAGTTAAGGGTAGTACTAAGATATACTGAAAGTACTTTGAGAAGAATTTCCATGTTTGTGATCAGCATGATGGAATTATATGAATAATTTACTTTCAAGGAAAATTAGACTTTTTCCCACTCATTTCTAAACCAGAAACTGGCTGTTTTTGATAAGAAACTTCCTCCCATTATGAAAAGACAAAGCTATTTCTTAGAAAAACTACAAATGAAGCTGCAGATTAATAAGCACACTTAAATGGACACTGTAGCTGCCAGTATTAAGATCTGTTCCTTAAAATGGTTGATAAATTTTTTCATTAATAACATAGTAATAAAATATTTCTAGCAAAGAAATATAGTAATATTCGTAAGAAAGAAACAATTTTCTACTTAGAATGATTAAAGGCTACTGCTAAAAAAACTGGGAACTTCTAACCAATAGATATATGGTCAGTGATGAAAAACAAATTTTGGAAAATGATGCAAACATTCAGTGTACTTTTAGAGATTCAATATTCAAAAATGATTTATGTAACTATGATATATAATATTTACTCCAAAGGGACAGACTAATCAAATATATATCCAGAGTCTCCACACACACAGAACCAAAGCAAAGAGTCTTCATGCGTTTCTTAATGTGATCCAGTGTTCAAATTTAAACTCAAGATGAGGGTAAACTCATGCACTGTAAAAATAAACTAATTCATGTAAGCAAGAAACATCATGCAACAGCGCTTACAAATGACATGGCTAGAATTATCAAAGTGTCCACTCCAGCTGCTATGCTTGGTTTTTCACTTGCTAATGATATTGAAAATAATTGTTCTTATGTATGATGCTCCTGACTATCTGGAGTCTTTCAGGGACTTTAGACCATTTTAAGCATCGTGACTCTAAAATACATCTCATGTTGAGGAATATAACACTTCATTTTTTTTTACTTTAATGATTTTAATGTTGACCAACTAAATGTTAAGCCAGAACTGTTTCCTAAGACTTTAACACTGTTGATAGTAGTAAGGAAAAGTAACCAGTGACTATGCTTAACATTTGAGAAAGATCTGAAGTATTTTTTCCTTCCCTTAGAGATGTAATAATGGATGAGAAGTAATAAAATGAAAAGATGGAATTCATTCAGAAACTGTCTCCTTTCATCTTACAGATGTGTACACAAGTAGTGTAATTTAGTTAATGTGCTGTGCAAACAATTTACAGTGAATAGGAAACACTTTCAGGAAAAGTTTGGATTAGCCAAAAAGTTCATTTGGGTTTTCCCATACCATCTTAACAGAAAACATGAAAGAACTTTTTGGCCAAACGAAGAGTTAAATGTCTGTTTACTGAAATGCATATACTTCAACAAAAACAAACACTTCACAAGAAGTGAAACTCCCTGATTCTCCTCAAATTCGTGCCAAACAACAAAAACACCACCAACAACAGGGAATTAAAAGAAAACAAAAAACAAAACACTATGACAACAGAATAAATTAAACTCAAAAGTAACATTAAATTTAAACAAATAACTATTAACTCGTTTATCTTTTTTTGAAGACAGTGGAATGACATAGCAAGAAATTTTAAAATTTCATGCAGAATACATTTAAGATACAATGCACAAACAGGCATGGAGGGAAAAACAGATGGAATTGCTTAAGATACACAGTCATCTCGACATAAAGACTTGTTTACTGGACTTTTCCTGACTAATGGTATCATTCATTTCTCTTTCACGATGTCATTCATTTTTGTTTTGAAGGAAGTATGTGTATAGTTTCAGATAAATTAGGCCCAAGAGAAAGTAAGGTAAAAAAGGGAAGGATTTTCTATCCTAATTTGAGGTAATGAATTAATTTTGCTTTGAGTATTTGATGAGATATGTAATCTTGTTAAAGCAAGATGATGTTGATTCTTTCTGAATACCTTGTTTCCATCAGGGTTGTGGATTACAGTAGTTTGGGGCTCCTGAGTGAGAACAAAATAGAGAAAGAAACAGTTCGCATTGGTAAGTACATTCTTAACTAGTGTAGGGACAGAGCAGAGTGAGCCAGCTGACACAGCTAAATAGTGACAAGAGCTTAAGCGATGTTAACTGCTGTCAGAGGTTGCAACTGACAAGATCTCTGATGAAAGATCTCCCTGGTGAACCCACGAGATACAGTGCTTTGGTACGTAGCAGCGGCATGCAAAAGACCTTATTCGTGATCAGCAAACAGACAAGGCTTTGAAGTTTGGAGACCTAAAGAGGCACTTGCTGTTTCACAAAGTCCTACAACAGACAGAGCTTTCCTTTTTTCTTTCACAACTTGGTAGTATCTGTCCCTGGCAAAACTGGCACTGGAGATTAGAACTCTCTGAGATAACCTCAAATTGTTTGTGAAGACATTTTTCAGCTGAATTAATCTGAGAACCAATCATGCTGTCATAACACACAGAAAAATACTCTTAGAAAACCTAGAATCATTGGATCATACTTTAAAAAGGGCTATTGTAAAGAACGTATTTCAAAAGTCCATAAGAAATTATAAGGAACATTGAAAAGGTTCTAGAACTAATCATATTAATCATTATTATTTGAGATGTACTGCTGTTAAACTGTTAGTTGCTCAGTCGCGTCTGACTCTTTGCGACCCCGTGGACTATAGCCTGTCAGGCTCTTCTGTCCATGGAACTCTCCAGGCAGGAAAACTGGAGTGGGTAGCCATTCCCTTCTCCAGGATATCTTCCCGACCCAGGGCTTGTACTGGGTCTCCCACACTGCAGGTAGATTCTTTACCATCTGAGCCACCAGAGAAGCCCTGTATTGCTGTTAAATCCCACGTTAATTTATATGTAAGAAATTTCTGCTTTATAGATTATATACATGGAAGATTTGTCTGTGACGTCATGCTCTTCCATGAAGAAAATGCTACTATTTTTCCTATTGTTTCTACTAGAAAATTGAAGAAATATTCCCAAGTGGAAAATAATAGTTATATAACTGGTGTAAAAAAAAAAAATTCAGTGTCTATACATCAATGGCATGCTTGGTACTTCATTACATGATGCCTTAGCAACTGGGCGTTACTGCAACCCACAGAGAATGTGCTTCAATCAGAAGCACTCTGCCCACTCAACCATCTCATTGCTACCAGTTTATGCTGCAGTACTTTTAAAGCATATTTACTGCTTCCTTTCTTCCTTTCCCTGGCTAGAGGTGTGATCAACCTGTTTTTTTGTTAGTAAGTAGTCTTGATGAGTCTGTCCTTTCTTCAAATGCTTTCTGGTTGAGCCTTCTGGTTAACCTTAGGTGAAATAATCTCATAACATTATCCATTCATTTGAAATTAACAGTACAGAGGACAGTTAAAAAAAATCAAAAACATTTCTGAAACTCATAAGTCAAAACATGGAATAGTTTGGGGGATATATTATGGAACTAAGAACACTGACTGCCAGTATTCAAACTTTGAATTTTAACATAATAGGGTCTCGCAGTGTTACACTGATTGAGTCGTTAATAGTGTGACAGAAACGGACAAAACTCATGCCCATTGATAATTCAAAGCTCGGAGCTATGCAATTTCATTCTCTGGATTAAAGTGAAACAGTGATAATTTAATTTAAAACACAGCAAACAAAAAGCTTTAAATTATCCAGTGCCTCTTCATCTCAGAAACTGAGGTCTTACAAAGCCGAGTTGTCTTGATAAGAGAGAAATGGGAATTCTGAATAAGGTCTACATTTACTTTTGTCTAGCAATAGTCCTCTTAGCTCTCCTTGATGTCAACATTTGCGTCATGAAGAGAAGAAACCATGGTTTGCATATCTACAGCTATCATCAGAAGGAGAGCTAAGAGAACCAAAGCACATTCTACTGTATTTCTAAGGCAGCATGCAACACTTTTAACTACAGAGACCACAGCTATCATCCATACAATGGTCAACAATGAAATGAGATCATCTCATGTTAGAAACACACTGCTGGACAACTACCTTAACAAAAAGAAAAGAAATGAACTTTTTTTTCGTATCTTACAAAGCAAAAACAAGAACAAAATTAAAAAAAAAATACATATTTATAGAGTGAAAGCAAATGAGAGAAACAACGGAAAACAGTCAAGAACTTAAGAAGGGTTACAAAGAGTCCAGGTATACCAGCGCCGGGGTAGGAATATTTTCTTTGGGGCTGGTTACCACGTTGGCTTTGTTGTTTATCTGTAGGTATGCAGAAAATAGAAACAGAGACGCCTTAAACCCCTTGGTAGCCAATGTCTCCATACGCGGCATGTCTACATGGAGATATAGACATGAAAATAAAGAGCCACTGAAGATGAATGTGAAAGACACTGTGATGACTGACAGGAATGATGATCAATTCTAGTCTCCGATGCTCACACCCAGGCTAGGGCCACATCTGTGACGGTGGAGTGGGAAAATGGACTTGGCTGCCTTGGCTGAGTCACCTTAGCAGACAGACAAAGAGCTACTTCAGCAGAGCTCAAATCAAGTGTCAGAGCATGAAATAAATATAAAATTTTCATACTCTCCGAGTTGGATTCTGTAGCCCAGCTTCCAATTGTTCTCTGTTATGAATAAATTGCTTTTTTCATTTGATTCTTGAGCCTGAAGTCACACATAGACTGTCTTTCTCTGGGGAGCCATCATCATTTTGTTTAGTAGGTATCCAGTGAAAAACTTAGATCTTCTGAGGAAACGCAGGCTTTACAATAAATTTCTTAAAATGATAAGTCTGGGTCTCCTTTAAAAAATACATCTTCCAATTATAAATGGGCAAAGTGAACTCTTTACTATGTGCTGGATGCAAAATGACTTTATTTTTCACAGTTGTTTGAGAGGAAATACCATGTATTCTGTCAAAGTGCTATGGCTATTGTTGAAGAGTACATTGGCCATACTATTCCCTTGCTTTAACATAACTGGTTTTAAAGAAAGATCATTATCACTACGGAATCCACGCTGTGAAAACAATTCAGGGGGTCAATAATTATTGTAATGGCCCACAGAGAAGACTGCTGTCAAGTGGCAACTTGAAATTGAGTTTCAATTACTTGATTGAGTTTGGGTACTAAAGAATCAAAGACTAATAATCAACATTCATTTGAACTCATGCATGACAACTTACATTGTGGTTATCAAACAAATATAAATTAACATTCATTTCTTGCACTGTATTATCTATTTTCTTTACATATTATCATCTAAAAAAAAAAACATGCCATGATCGTAGTGTAAATATACTTAAGGACTTAAAGAGAAAAACATTCTGCACAAAATAATACCATATAAATACTTATGATCAGTTATACCAATTTAATTGTTTAGACTTTCTGGGAGTCCTTTTTTTAATATTTTATACCTATAGATCATATTTAAAGTAACACCGAGAGGAGGACAGAAGGTTAAAAAAATTAACTTGGGTATGTAGTATTTTGCTTTTCTAGTCATTCCTATATGTATGATTATTTGGTGTCAGTACTATTTAAATAAGCTATAACACTGTGCTCTGTGACATGCAGGAAAAGAGAAAACTTGGTGCCCTTTACTGGAAAACTATTAAACCATCAATCTACATTTTGTGGATAGTTTAAATTTTTTCTTTAAATAAAAGTGCACAGAATTTAACATAAAATTTGTGCAACAGCCAAAACAAAGAGATAAGAGAGAATGGAGTTTATTAAAGAGTGGTCAAAATTCAGTATTTAGTTTGATATAGAATATATAAGAAAAGAAGAGGGATACACATGCGAATAATTTCCTATTTAGGAAGAGTGTTGGCAAAACACAGCTAACTTCTTATCAAATGATCAGAAGCACTCACGATTAAAGCACATGTATATTTAATATACTACATTTAACTTATATCAGTGGTTGCAAAGAATGAAAGAGGAATATACTGAGATATTTTCTGTTTTGAGATATGAGACTTGATTTTTTCCTTAGGATGTGCTTGTCAAGAACTGTTTTGATTTACTGGAAATGTTCCATGTGCACACCTATGTACACAAAGTTATCCATACAAGTGCACACCCCTCAACACATACACACACCCACACATGCGTTCACACATAGCGTACACAGTCATCTCTTCCAAATGAAGGCCATTCTGTCTGGAGGAGCCATCCTTTATTGTCAGGCATGGCAAATGTTAGTTAAATGAATATGTGCCTCAACCACCACTTTTACTTGTGTTTAAATGTACAACTAAAAACTTTTGTTAAAGATTAGCTTAATGATGTTTTTTTTGACTGTAGAAAATCTTTTGAAGGTTTTTATAATATTAATTAAAAACAACAGGAGAATTTCTAGGTAAAAGGCTAGGAGTAGTTCCTTTTAAAGAGTTGAATATCAAGCATGGGCTCAACCACAGCTGCCTTTTAAATATACAAGAGCTCTGGCAATTTTGTCTGTGAAATGTATTTATTTTATATTATGGATGCAGAGTATTATTTAAAAAAATTAAATGAAACAAATATTTAAATAATGCAGTGAGTTATTCTTATGAGGCAGGGGTAAGATATTCCTATTTTTCAGGTGCTGAGTTCATTTAGTTTTGAGGTTAATAACATTTTTTCAAAAGGTGCTTAACTAGGATGGGTCCATGGTAACAGCACTTTCATGCTATTTATAGAATTCCATGGTGGATGCATTATGGTTTATCTGAACTAAGAATCACTGCTATTTTAGTAATCATGATTAACTATTTAAAGATAATCCTATAGTAGTTTTTCACTTTTCACAATAATTACAGACATTAACTATGTCATAGTCTCTCTTCAGTTTTATGAAAAAATTGCACTGTCTTCTAAAAGACCCTTTAGTAATATATGGATGACAGTGTAAACTTTTTATATATCTCAAAAATTCCATTTCAAAGAAAAAAATAATTGAAGATGGGTACTGTGTTTTGATAGTTAATAAACATTAACTTGTATACTTTCCTATATTTTCCTATACTTTCTCCACTTACACGAACTTAGGTAAACAAGACTAATCTATTCCTAAGTGTGAATTTTCACAGAAGGAGAAATCTGGCAGAAATCCTCACCATCATCTGAACACTCGAACTGGACTTCCTTTTCTGAATTGACCAGTCAAAAAGAAAGGAAAAGAAAAAAATATGACCGGTTGAATTTTTAAAGTGTCAAAGCATGGAGCACAGAATAATTTTGTCTTTAAAGAAGAACTGTAAGTTGACTGGAAGAAAAAAGTTTTGGAAATGTTTCTTTCTATATAAGAATAGTAGTGTAAATAAATATCTTAATAGAAACTATGAGCTCTGCATCACTGAACACCACAGAAAAACACAGGCGAATAAAACATTTGGAAAATTTAAAATACCACATTTCCACCAATGTAACACTGGGAAAAAAGCAGACATCAACAGTCATTACTGAAATTTATGTTGAATAAACTAAGAAGAAGGAAGAGAATATTACAGACTGAGGAAAGGAATTAGTAAACGGTAAATGCCATCCTAATGGGAGTCACCAGTGCATGATCGTCATAGCTCTGGAAATTCCCAAATCACACACAGGCAGGTGGTGAAGCAATGACGGGGCATGAACGTAAGTGACAGAGGATATTCTGTGTCCTATATTCAAAATGAACTGACCACTTGGCTTTGGGTCAAGTTCAAATGTTAGAAAATTAATTAATTCCCAAGAACGTTGGAGTGTTCATGAGGAATGTTGGCGTCTGCCATTGGAAGAGAAAGAAAAAGATTAAAGAAATAAAACATTGAGGTAATACTCTGGAAAGATAACAAACATAATACATGTATAAGGTTACATTCAATCAAAGGTAAATTCCCACAGGAAAAAAACCAGCACCAGTAGAAAGTAAATTGTATTATTTTGTTTGGAAACCCAAAACTTTTAGAAAGTAAAAATACTCTGCTGCTGTCTTTCTTGGAAAAATGTTCTAATATTTCTTCAGAATATTCATGCTTATTCTGTCTCAAAACCTTATGACAGAAGAACAGGAACAATTAAGACCTTTAGAAATACTGTCCAAGCAAAGAAAATAGTCTTTTGAATTTTGATTTCCTAGACTCGATTTGTTTTTCTCAGTCTATAAAATTCAGCAGCCAGAATTTTAAAAGAACACTACATAACTATTTGGAAAAACATTTGGTTTTCATGAATTTTCAGGTCACCATGACAGTTTGAGGCTACAGTAAAGTAGAGAGGATTTACATACTCAATTTCTAAAGTAACTCCACATAAAATATTGTTTTGTCATGATTATTTAATATAAAACAAGTAGAAAAGATGTAGCTTTTCTTGGTATAAATATTAGTCATTTCTACATATTAAATTATTTTATATTTCATTCTGCATTCTGTACTATAAAAAGGAACTATAAAAAGTATGAGCTACAATGATTTAGAACTTATATTTAACATTTAAAAATGATCCAGCATCTGAAAGTCAGAAATGAGTTTAAGAGCACCTGTTTAACTTACCTTTACTCCATCTGGTTTCTTCAACAAACTCTTGGCTGCTGCAAAATGAGGGTAAAAATCAGTTTAGTGAGTTATCAACAGAAACCCACAGCCAGGCAACAAAACAAGTTATTGTTTTCTTCTACCTTTACTGATTTATGGCCAACATATGCCCGATTATCAAGGTCACACTGATGAGCGCGAGCTTACAGGACATTGAAATACAGTATCACTTTTCTTGGTCTTGTCACATCAAATTTAGAACTAAATTCTTATTTAGTTCATTGAAAATAATTGGACACTTTGTCGGTTACATTACTGGACTTTATTTCACGGTTGCGAAAAGGATACTGGAACTTTAACTGGACTATGCTTTTGTAATCCAGAAAGTTGATTTCAAGTCTTCAGACATCAGCTCACAGATTGTATTACATGTTCATTCACACCAACGTATGGTGGCATGTCAGTTCTGCCACTTGGGCCCCTCTTCCGAGAGGTTTAAAACTCGTTCGTGAAAATCTGCTCTGGCTAAATAGCATTCTTTTTAATATGCATATTTGAAATCAAATCATTTCATTTTTATAAAAATATTATTAATAATAACTGTATTTAAAAGGAAATGGTATATTATCGGCCTAGAGAAAGTATTTCACACACTTAAGTGTATGAACTTTTAAAAAAGGTATTTTTTTAATGCATCAAAATCAGAATACAAAGGCTTCATAACCAAAAGCCTTCTACATTGCAAAACTAAAAATCACAAAATTGAGGCATGAAAGAAAACAAAATGAAATCTTCAAAGAATTCCTAAAGTACATTGTTTATTATGAGACTTTACTTTTTGGGAGGGAGCATTCAGCATTCCTTCTGTTACTGAACTCCTTGAGTATATTACAAAGCAATGCTGTCCTTTCAAAAAATATACTTATGAATAGGTACATATACAGTCAGATCATATAACTGTCAATGACAATTAGTAGATCAAGTGTAGAACATTCACAAATATGTAGGACAAAGTACACATTTATGCTTCAATTTAATGTTAATTATATATATTTAAATATATCAGAATAGAATTTGGTATCTGAGGTGGAAATACCTAGCTATGATAGAACTGCATGAACATGTAATTTCCTGACATCTGTTTGATTTGGGCCATTATTTTGCTATCACATTGGTACCATTTTAACTTTAAAGATACAAAGATATTAATTTTATTTAGCTTTTAGCAACAGAGCTATTAATTTATTATGAATGAGACTGTAAGAAACAGTAGCCTTAGCACTAATACTGTGTGCCTGGAGCTAAAAAGCAGTATTCAGTGAATCCTGTGGCAGTTAGTAGGTTAGAAAGCAAACTCAGAATAATTAGAACTGCAATAGCAAGCGAAGAGAAGACAATGATTTGGGGTAAGCAGCGATTTGGCCTGGGAGATGCAGAAATGTCCCTTTTGGTTACTATTTACCTTACCTCACAAGAAATACATTCCACATAAAGGGAGAAAAGAAAAAATAAAAACAACTTTATAACCATATACTCATGGACAAATTACTTTAAAGAGCATGTTTGGTAATGAAACACAATGAATACTCAAAACTAAAACACAATATAAACCACAAGGTGTAACTGAGTCTAATGTTATTCAATCGGTTTTGAAGTGATGGATTAAAAAAAAAGTTTGCTTTTCATGCTAAGACATTCAGAAACGATATCAAATCCACATATTAGTCATGAGTTTTTAGTTTACATGATGATGAAAGGAAAATGTGAGGTAAACAAAAAGCTCCCATACATGGGTGTATATATTAATAAAGGCCCAATTAATGCCTAACAGTGTATTTGAAACTGAAACAAAATATACAACCTTAATTCTGAAGTTTTTTTTTTCCTGTTAGTCTGTCATTAATTGTATATACTATACCATCCTACTTTTTAGTGATTCACTAATTATTGGGCCACAGTGAAATATTAATTCATTTGAATATAGCATATATCAGTTAATATTTAATGAGATGACACTGAATTCACCCATATAAATGTCAAATATATTAATCAACTGTTCATAAAACAGGTAACTTGACAGCAGCAGTAACAAGTTTTACTACACCAAACAAACGGGACAAAATACATACAACTGACTAATGCAGTCCCTCAATTTGCAGCATTACTCATGCATTATCATCACTGGTGTTGTTTAACAGGTGAGTGGAAGTCCTTGAAAAACCTATGAAATCACATTATATACAATGGGGCACTAAAGGTGACCACCTAATAAAATGGTAAACAATAAATAGAAATTGGTTGAGCAGCTTGGAAAACATGATACGGGTCATCCATCACCTGACTTCACTACGACACGCAGGTGAGGTATGCGGCAGAAATAAAGCACTTAAGACATAGCTGGGTCACTGGATGCCCCACAGCACTCTCATATAGACAGTAAGTAAAGGAAAATGGTAGTATTTTTGGTACAACTGTCTGACAATGGTTTCAAGTCTAAATAGCTAAACAGTTAAGTTTTTACCAGTGCAGCTGTCTCAATGCTTCAGTCCCTCCCCATACATAAGACTGATTAGCTTTTACCAAAGTTTAGGTTTTGGAAACCTGATCCTTTGTGCTAACCCATCAAAGAAGGGGGGGCTCCAAAACTCAATTTCTGGAAATAGTATATACTTTATGTCAATTCTGGAGAGTCACTCCTACAATAAAAGAAATAGTTAAGCTTCTTTCAGTCTATTATTTAAACAAACTTATTTTTGCCGGGAAATCATTTCAAAGAATGTCTATTACAGTGGGGTAGGTTCTTTGTAAATTGTTAAGTTTAGATACCTTTGTAAGTTGTAATCATTCTCATAGCATGCCAACATACTACAGTACTGTACTTTCAAAAGAACTTAGGCCTAAGAGAACTGGGTTCCTCAATAATGGTCTTCTAAAAATCTTATTGGGATTCCCTGAGAGAATGAGACATACACAAAAAGACATTATTCATAGTTATTACTTTATGAGGTATCAATTAATTCTACATTCAAAATGCTGAGCTTCAAGTTGGGAGAGTATAGTTACAAACTGTGTCAACTTCAGCATGGAAGACAGCTGGGTTTTGAGCTCTGCTCCAGTGCTGACTAGTGGCGAGGCTGCCTGGGTGCTCAAGGGGAAAGTGTAGTCATGGGCCAGCTAACACCTCTGTGGGACAGCACCCACGTCAAATCCAACATGGCCGTCACAGGTGTGAAGGAACCCATGCCACGTCTTTGCCATCCCTGAACAACAGTGTTTTATGTAGTCACTAAAAATTTTAAATTCCAAAAAAGCTACTAGAGAGGAGAGGAGAAAGAGCAGAGTTCTTAACACATGTACCTGAAAAATTCCTCGTAGCCAGCATAGTGGTCAAGATGGCACCCTGTCAGAGCAATAAGAATATAAAATTAATGCTGCTTTTGCAAATCTTTAACCTAACAAATAACTGTTTTTGATAACAAGTCTTCTCCTAACCTTACTTTCAGTCAGGAGATTTTTGTTTCTTTTCAGTTTTTGGTTTCCTCAGAGTAGCAGGACTATGTTTCTTATAATAATGCTGGGACCACCCTGGTGGGTGCGGCCAGGTTCTGATTACTAATTTGCACAGCTGTTTTTCACTGAATGGAGGGATCACATCACCAGTGATCCTAGCTCTTCAGGGTAGCTTTAATTCCAGCGATATTCCACTTCCCCCAAGATCCAGAAGAAGAGTTTTGAGGCTTATACATTTTAAAGCCCTTTCTAATATAGTTCTGTTCCTCATATGGAATCTCACTTCTCACTCTGCCAAATCTCCCTCTGCACACAAAAGTAAAATTTCTTACCTTTAGTTTTCTTCTCGCATTGAATTTCTTCAAGCAGTCTACAGTCTCCTGTCTGTGCATCATGGAAGCAACAGTAGAACGTTGCTGGAAGAGGAGAAAAATAAACGTAATTGAGGATATTTAAAAGATATTAAGCATAACAGTATCCTCAATTTCATCAAATTTTTATTAGTGGTTTCTGCACCCATTGATGAACTTATAAGTATTCAATTACAAGAGTTTCCTAATAATGAAAGACTGATTTTGCCAAGACTACTTGTAAATAAAAATCAAAGAATATATCTTTTATTTTGGCTCTTGGGGTCTTTGGAGAACAGTCACTTACACAGATCCATGGATGTTTCAGTGCCTCTGAGGCTGTGATACGCTTGGCAGGGTTGATAGTAAGCATTTTATTGATGAGGTCTTTGGCTTCAGGAGTCACGGTGTCCCACTCTGGTGATGGAAACTTCAAAAATACAAGTTTATAAACAGTTTAAAAGAGAGATACACTCAGTGGAACATGGAAGAGCCAAATATACTAATCATTTCCTTAAGTAGTGTGTTTCTTCATAAATTTACTTTTTGTAGAAGTTAAATTGTATCTACATGTAGACAAAATTTTTAACTTTTTGGTTTATTTTGGAGGATAACTGATTAACAGTGTTGTGATAGTTTCAAGTGGACAGCAAAGGGACTCAGCCATATGTACACATGTAGTCAAACTGATGTAGATATATACCATCTATTCCCTCTCTATGTATTTATCTATATATTAAGATATTGTGTGTAATTATAAGGGACAAAGATGTACAGTAAATTGCCATGTTATAAGTAGTGATATACATTTTTAAATTTGAAAAAACAAAATGAATCTTCTAGTCCTCTAAAAAAAATCTTTGTTTAATCTGCAAATTCAATTTTATGCAATCTTTCTCATAACTATCTTTGCAATTTTACAAAAGTCAATAAAGCTTAGAGGTTGTCACATCAGCGTGCTACTATGCCAAGGTTCAAAATGATGTATTACATACTTCCACATCTCATAAGCAGTAACAGCAGAGAAAATAAAACAGCTTCAGTTCCTGTTCCAAAATGGACCTATGAACTGTCGCTATTTGGAGTACAGCGGTGAGACAAAATTTGAGACTCTAAGAGCCCCGCAGGATTTCATCTTAACACTTCAAAAAGGTTAATCTACTTAATCATAAATTTCATTAAAGCTAAGTTCATGAAAGTAACCAACACTTATAACTTTTATTAGTAACCATATATAGTCATAAAATAATTTTAAATTTCTGTGTAAACTTTTTGTTGATAACTATGTAACCTCACATTCGCCTAATAAGCATATTTAGTAGAAATACTATTCTTGATGGGTTAAGAAGAATGTATATCCCATTGGCTTCTGACAAGGTATTAGGTTCTTTTCCCAATTTATGAATTTTTATAGACAATCTTGAGAAAAAAGCCATTGTCACTGTGGCCTGATGGACTTCAGTTGGTTCACTTTTAGGAGCCATGTGTGACTTGTGATGTGCATTTGTCGTTTGTTATCATGTGCATTTGTGATCCACTGGCAAAATGAAACACAAGAAAAATGATACTGACTCTTTAACACTTGCACATTCTTGCCAGTTTAATACCTATCATTTTAATTCCAGAAGTTTACTTTGGCCAGTTGTAAAAACCTGCTAACCATCAGGAACTATTGAGGAAACACTCAAGTCTGCTTCTTTGTGATGTAGAGATTTTCTGACAACAAATGAGGGGCTGAATTCACCTAGATAAAAGTGGGTCCTTCTCTTATTTTTCTAACTTTCACAAAGGCATTTCTTTACATTCACCAAGCAGTGCATCTGTAGAGTTATGCTTTTCGGGTGAAAAGTGAAAGCATGAGTCACTCAGTCATATCCTACTCTTTGTGACCCCATGGACTGTAGCCCGCCAGGCTCCCCAGTCCATGCAATTTTCCAGGCAAGAATATTGGAGTGGGTAGTCGTCCCCTTCTCCAGGGGATCTTCCCTACCCAGGGATTGAACCCATGTCTCCTGCATTGCAGGCAGATTCTTTGTCATCTCAGCCACCAAGGGAGAAGCAAACCCCTGTCTTCCCAGAGGGGTGCCTAGTTCTAATCTGGAAAGATGGTGAGGGCACTAAAATGGCCAGGCAAATCACAATTTGGATTAATTATGATTAGTCTGGCTAGAATGGAATGCTTCAAAATTATAGATTTTAAATACCTGTGACACATTCATCCATCTTACATGTTACATTTAGTCAGGGGAGTTCATGACACCTGATACAGTATAATATAGATTTCTCATAACTTCTCTCTTTACCACATTGTGCTCTTAACTTGCACTCACAAGGTGGAGCCGTTACTGCCTACCACTTAGTTAGCCCACTTAATAACACAGGAAAAGCATCTCCAGACCTCGCGTTCTGACTTCCAGAGGGCTGTGTGAGGTAAAATCAGAGGAAGTGGTAAATCATATTTATCAGAGGAGAGAAAATTACACCAAAGAGCACAAAGTTAAGCCATATAGACAAGTAGTTAAGGCCTTACTCTTCAATACAGGCCTTAATTCATATGCCTAGTTTCAAATATTCTAATTGTAAATTAAATGTATTGTAACTGTGATTTTCCAATATTTTTCAACTGTGAAAACCATTCTTTAAATGAATGCTTTCACAGAAGCTCACTGGATAAACAAAACAAAACAGTCAAAGCTGACATAAAGGAACAATGTTCTATTTGATACATGGATCACTGCAAAATATTGTTAACATATAATTATGCAGTAAGCATTTGAAAATATAATTCAGCTAATAGGTAGTAACCACTTCTAAAGCAAAAATACTTTAATTTTTATATATTTTAAAATGCACTAAGATTCAGTAGCTTTGATAAGCAAGGTCCTTCCTTAGAGACTTCAAACTGTTTTCCTTTCAATTTTATGAAATAAAGGTCTAGAAGGAAATAGAAACTAAATATATATGTTACATATCTTATTCTTTTTTCCTAAAGGAGAGGCCAATAATAAGGGATATTACTAAAATAGCAATGAAAAATCTGTTTTCTGATAAATTAAAAAACCAAACCCAATATAAAGCTATATGAATATTTATTACATACATCATAAGCACCAGCCTTGATCTGCTGATAGAGTCTGTGTTGGTCTTCATCCCAGAAGGGTGGATATCCAACCAGTAGAATGTAGAGGATGACTCCTGTAGGGAATGAGCACATTAACACAATGTTAAGTAACAGAGACACCGAGAAGTTAAACAGGGCAGATCCACAATGATATTAAGCCACCTCCATTCAAAGACAGAACACTGGATGGTTGGTAAACTTCAGAGACATGTTATCTGAAGTGTTCTGTGGAGGGTGGATGCTGCTCCTCCTCTGCTCGAGGACTTTGACAACGTGACAGTCCAAGGCACGCACCAAAGAGCTAATTCTGAAAAGCACAGCGGAGCAGCACAGAGATGCGAAGCTCCCCCACCACTGCCGGGGCACGTTGGGCCGCCCTGAGCCCTGTGTACGCACGACCGCCCTATGCTCTTATCTATCTAGATACCATGTGATTTTAGTCACTTTAGAAGCTGACATTTAAAAACATAACATATTATTACTTCCTCTTAGTCATTTTGCCTCTTAGTCATATTGTCACCCTGCTTCTTTGACTTCTATGCAGAGTACATCATGAGAAACACTGGGCTGGAAGAAACACAAGCTGGAATCAAGACTGCCAGGAGAAATATCAATAACCTCAGATATGCAGATGACACCACCCTTATGGCAGAAAGCAAAGAAGAGCTAAAGAGCCTCTTGATGAAAGTGAAAGAGGAGAGTGAAAAAGTTGGCTTAAAGCTCAACATTCAGAAAACTATGATCATGGCATCCGGTCCCATCACTTCATGGCAGACAGATGGGGAAACAGAGGCCGACTTTATTTTTTTGTGCTCCAAAATCACTGCAGATGGTGAGTGCAGCCATGAAATTAAAAGATGCTTACTCCTTGGAAGAAAAGTTATGACCAACCTAGACAGCATATTAAAAAGCAGAGACATTACTTTGCCAACAAAGGTCTGTCTAGTCAAGGCTATGGTTTTTTCAGTAGTCATGTATGGATGTGAAAGTTGGACTATAAAGAAAGCTGAGTGTTGAAGAATTAATGCTTTTGAGCTGTGGTGCTGGAGAAGACTCTTGAGACTCCCTTGGACTGAAGGAGATACAACCAGTCCATCCTAAAGGAAATCAGTCCTGAATATTCATTGGAAGGACTGATGTTGAAGTTGAAACTCCAATATTTTGGCCAACTGATGTGAAGAGCTGACTCATTTGAAAAGACCCTGATGTTGGGAAAGACTGAAGGTGGGAGGAGAAGGGGACGACAGAGGATGAGATGGTTAGATGGCATCACTGACTCAATGGACATGAGTTTGGGTAAACTCCAGGAGTTGGTGATGGACAGGGAGGCCTGGCGTGCTGCGGTTCATGGGGTCGCAAAGAGTCGGACATGATTGAGCGACTGAGCTGAACTAAACTGAGTCATTTTGCTAATTAGGACATTTTGTGGCGCAATGGTGCCCTGGTTACAGATTCATGCTCTGAATATCCAGGGTGCCTGGGAGTGTGGGTACCATATGAGAAGATGAAAATCCTTTCCTTACTAATGATCTTAGTCTTCAAAGAGAGTTTCTTCAGTAAAACAGCTAAACCAGTGATACTACAGAAGAGCATATACTACAAAGAGGGAAAAGAGGAGACTGAAATTGTGCATAAAATTCAGAGTTAAATGCTCAGCTTTAAGACAATTTAATATCTTTTTCATAAATATGCAGTTATTGAGAAACTAATCAACACCTGATTTAATCTTTATATTAAACAAAATTCTTGTATCCAGTAGTTTTTAACTTGCCCTGAAATCAAATCTGAGGTTTTTTTTTTTTTTTTTCCAGGATCATAACTACAAACAGTTTTATTCACATCACTGGATGAATATACAAAGAGTATAATATTCAGTCATATCAATAAGTGACTAAATAAAGAACATAATATTCCCAGAGAAAACATTATGAATAGAATTTTAATAATGTTATGAAACAAATCCTATTCTATATCCTACTTTTTGGCCAAATGTGATTGTGGGTACTAAATTATGATTTTAATGGAACAACTCAACTCTTACATTTGCTAAAAATTTCATTGTCTCAATACACCTCATGCATGTATTTAATGATATCTGATACAGACTGGGAATGTCCTTAATATTATTTGCACATGCAGTGGATCACTTGCAAATAATTTGAAACTGAGGCCCTGCAAACATGAAAACCTTTATTATCTGAAATAAGCAACTGTGCAAAGTGAACTTTATTTTTGCATATTTTCTTTTACAGATTAATATAAGACATGAGAATATCTTGGTAAGATTTGCAAATCTACTTAAAAATTTTCATTCAACTCTTCCATAGTTTAAGTTCAAGACTTCCCCCAAAGATTAATGCATAATATTATTGAGATTTTAAGTTAACTTTATTTCACTTAACATCTTTGAAATCCTAAACCACAAGTTCTCTCAGTTTTTCAAAAGAGCATAACTGTTTTCCTCCTAATACTTTAAAATAGCAAAATTATGTAAAAAAAAAAACAGACTACAAAAGGAAATTAAAAGCTAATATACATTCAATACCAAGTTAAATCTGAGGTTTAAATGTCTCCTTGGATCATCCTCTTTGTCATCATATGTCCCTTCCTCTACTTTTGCTTAAGGTCTTGCATTTCTAGCCCACTGCCCCAGCGGAAAGTCTGCTGTCTCCTGCTGCTTTTCTCCTGTGGAGTCCCCTTCGCCGGAGAAGCCTGGGAGGTGGTAAGCTAGGTGACATGCCCCCTGGTGGGCCTGCATCTACTGTTTCCCAAAGCTGGACTCTTCAGTTCCTTACCTTTACTCTGTGAGGGACACAGCCCTGCTCCTGTTCACCAGAGCCGACACATTTATATGACAGACACTGTTGCAGCCAAGATGGCTTTAAACAACGGTTTAGTCACCCTAGGATTTTCTAGCCCGCTTCAGGAAGACCCAGTTCAAAAAGCTATCATGATCAGAACAAAGCATTTTAAAAGACATTCTTAAATAAAAACCCAACAACACTTAAAACCAAGATCAAAAGAGACTTCACCACAGTGGAATTAAAAAAAAAAAAAAAAAAAAGGACAGTGCAGAAAATCAAATATAACATTGCTACCTTACTTTGCAATACAAAAATGTTTTTTTCTATCTTTCAACATATCACAGACTTAATGTTCATTCATTTAAATTTATTTTAATATTTTTCCTATCTGATTTAACAGACGCATTTAATGATGATAATAATTATGATGATGAGTGTCTGGATGCAAGTAGAAAAGAGGATATACCTAAATAGCTTTAACCCTTTGCTATGGTTTAGGGGGTGAAGAACAAAATCAGCTTTGCAATGGAAACAGTCTATAGTTATTTAAAAATACTCATTTCTCTAATAAACATCTGGAGTTAAGTTGTTATAAAATTATAAAACAGAGCCACATCTGCAACATTTAGCATTCTGGACCTGGGCATGGCCTGCTTTTGAAGCTTTGTTCTTGTGAGTTACGTCTACTGGTTGACACTTGGTATGGTACTTTTCTGGGAAGGGAGGCTCACAGACATTTCATTCCCTAAGAATCAGCACCCACTACATTAATAAATGCTCATGATTTGTTTGAGGGAGGTCTACAAAAAATATACTTTAAATAAAATAATAGCATAAATATAGTAGATTTAAAAATACTTTTAGGCTACAAGACATTATTGAGCAGACTGATGTGAAACTGTCAATTAGAGACGTGGGTTTGATCCCTGGGTCAGGAAGATCCCCTGGTGTAGGAAATGGCAACCTGCTCCAGTATTCTTGCCTGAAAAATCCCAAGGACAGAGGAGTCTGGTGGGCTACAGTACCCTTGGTTACAATGAGTCGGACACAGCTGAGCACAGTTCTATTATGCCTTCCTTAGTCTAAGAATAACTTATTTCATCAGCTGTTTGGTTACCCTGAGATATGGCTCATAGAGGAAAGATAGGGTAATTAGTTTTTCCCTTCTTTAATAATCAGCTTTCAAAATAACACTTTGGTTCCCCAAACATCCTACAAAGGCCAGGATTTAGGTTGTATTTTGACTACTATTACTATGAGTGCATACATAAATTTAAATGTATTTAATATTTTAATCCACTACTGTTATTTTTCTTATTTATCTTCTAACTGTCCTATCTTTAACCAGTTGAAGGCACTTCAAAGTGGCTCCTGATAACGATAACCCTATATGCAAAACAGAAAAAGAGACTCAGATGTATGGAACAGACTTGTGGACTCTGGGAGAAGGCAAGGGTGGGATGTTTCAGGAGAACAGCATTGAAACATGTGTTATCTAGGGTGAAACGGATAACCAGCTCAGGTTGGGTACATGAGACAAGTGCTCGGGCCTGGTGCACTGGGAAGACCCAGAGGGATCGGGTGGAGAGGGAGGTGGGAGGGGGGACTGGGATGGGGAATACATGTAAATCCATGGCTAATTCATATCAATGTATAACAAAAACTACTGTAATGATGTAAAGTAATTAGCCTCCAACTAATAAAAATTAAAAAAAAAAAAAAAACAAAAAACAAAGTGGCTCCTGAGTCCTGTTAATAAAAGCTCTGTAGCCTTTAATAATTTCTGTTCTTTCTGGTCTCACCAGATGCTCTTGGATCATTACTTTTCCTAATCCAGACTTGGAATCAGCCACTTCTACAAGGAATCTTGATTTCTTATGGAGGCAAACAGTATATAGAGACCAGACTGGGAAGTCTGAGGTGTGCTCTGTGGGAACTACACATTTCTTCGACAAATAAATTGAGAAACAAGGAAAGAGGAGTGAGGAGAAGAAGAGGGGGACAGAGGAGCAGACCTTACAAATAACAGAGACTTGAGAGACCAAACTGATAATGAAATTATGAGACAAAGGGGCAAATAGCAAAATTACTACATATTTGATGATTTTAAGCAATTACTATTACATGACATTCAAAAATATTTATATTATTAACATGTTTTTTAAAAAGCCATTTTCTTTTAGAGGTATTCATTAAAATATTTATAGATATATTGATATGATGTTTGGATGTGACTTAAATAATCTTGAGATGGAGGACTGAGTCAAGTGATGAAGATGAAATAAGATTAGCTATCAGTTCAGTATACTATTATCCTCTCTACTTTTGTAGAGAGAATTTTCTGTAACAAATTTTCCATAAAAGCTAAACTATTTGACACAGTCCACTTCATATAACATTTTTAAAAAATGAAAGTTAAAACAAATTTTCATTATCTTATGTACACATTTGTGCTTGGAATATGCTAAGAGATGTTTGATTAATAAGAGTTGAGAAGTACTGATTACTGATTAGGTAGAAAGACTATATTATCAAGAACATTCAAAACTGATTTTAATAAAAGCTACAGCTTTAGAATGTAAAGGCTGTTCTTATGAAAAAAAAGGTGAAGCCGTAATGCTGAGAAACTTGAGAAGTCAGTGGGAAGTTAACAGAGCAGTCTAACAAGCACCCACTTCAAATGCTCAAAAAGTAAAGGGCATACCATGAGCTCGTGTGCAAAATGCAGGGGAGTCTGGAAATTAACTAGTGAGGGATAAGAACAGCTTCCTTTTATCCCTTATGCAAACCCAAAACCAAAACACAATTCAAATAGGGAAATACTCTGGGACCTAAGGGGCCAATGATGGGCAGAACAAAGATCTAAAAGATCAAGGCCAACAAGTTAGTAAATTATTTTTCAGATGATGAAAGCTATTTCTGTCATGCGGTAGGGCTGGCAAACTGACAGGCTGCCTGGCATCAGGCTGAGGTGCCTGCTGGGCAGGAGGGCGGGAGGGTGCCAGGGACAGCCTGTGTCCGTCTGTCTGGCAGGTACAGCAGCCTCGTAAGAACACAAGCATCTTGCTATTAGTTCTTTCAATTACTTTAGGGAAGTCAGAAACTGATAACGTCTAAAGAAATCTCCTGACAATTATATAATTTATTATATAAATTTAAAGATAAATGTCAATTCTCTCCCCCTCCCCCCATAAATGGTCCAAGTGTTTGGCCAGTACAGCTGTAGATCACCTGTTTGTAATTTGTGCTCTACCTAAGAATCCTAAATTTGCTGCCCGAGAGGAATTTGCAACTAGCTGCATTATGCAGCCCAATAGTGGTGTGCATCAGAAAGTTTGTGGAAATGCAAATTCCTGAACTTGATCACAGAGAATCTTATTCAGTGGTTTCATGGGTGGGTCCCAGAAAGTTGTATTTTTGATACGTACTTGGGTAGGTCACCTTGAAGCATGTGGTCTGTGATCCACAGTTTGAAAATATCAAGTCAGGGAAATAAATAAATACTATATCTAGAGAAATATCTGAAAGTATATCAGTTCAGAATAAGAGAATGTTGGTAGAGATTATGGGAAGAAAGCTCCAAGGGCTGAAGACTAATGAAGACGTGGGTTGTCAGGGATGAAGGCAGAGAGCCTTGTGAATGTGAGGCACAGCTGGATGGTTCAGTGTAAGAGCCACAGAACTGGTGAAAGGAACACATTGTCCAGCAGGCTTGAGATTTCAAAATGGCAAATACCTTCTTAGAAAGTGCTTGATGCTGACTTATTCCAGCTGAAATATGGAAAGGCTAAGGCTCAGAAGTCACACAACTGCTGGACCTAATTTGGCCATGAAAGGAAACAAGGAACACATCCCCCTAAGATTTCAAAGGTTTGTTACAAGTTACAATATATTCTGTGACGGCCACTAGGTTATTATCACTCACAACTGTTCTGATATCTAATGCAGGCAGAGAAGTAACACGACAAGCTGTGTGTCCACTATATTTTCAGACTTACATTTATTATTTTTTAAAACCAAGATGTAGAAGGAAGTTGTTAAAAACCAGTCATTCAGTGGCATCTATAAACATTTGCTCACCCCACTATGGGATTATGGAAATAGCTATATAAGCTAGAAAACTATCTAAATCAATTTACTGTTGTTAATGGCAGAACACAGGACTATATTCTTGCTTCATTAATGTCTATCATTTACTTTCCAGTAATGGACTAGTAGCTTTCAAATCCCAGATATAAGTCAGGCTATATTCTGTGTGAGATCATTAAAGCAGTGGTGATAAGTATGTTAAATTTTCTGTGTATGGATTATTGTATGTTTCTAATGAAAAAAATGCACAGATATCTTTAAGCCATTATACCAAAGCTGTACTTCACTCTGTTCTGTGTCAATTGCCCAAAGGCAACTATGGTTGAGTACTTGCTATTTTGCTAAATGACTTATTCTGTATTTCCTTTCTTATCTGGGTTATCTCATTTTTTACCATACTATCCAATGTCTAGCTTTGCAAAGAAGTAGTTATTAAGAGCTAGTGTTGAGGAATGGTTGTAAAAGAGATTCTCTCAAGATCTGCCGTTACCAAAAAGCAGTAAATAAAGTGTACATTACTTTGGCAACTATTACAATGGGAATGAGAAAAGGTGTACCATCTTGTAAGTAAACTGAATTTAATGTAACCTTCAAGACATATAATAAAATGATAAAGCTATTCCAAACAGCAGAGACCCAGAAATGTAACAAAAGGCATAAAAATATCTTATTATGTTCCAGGTAGTGAGTTCTGTGTGTGTGTGTGTGTGTGGGGGGGGGGTTGGGTAATTTCCCCCAAATATGTAACACTGTAATATCTAAGACACTTCTGCAGTTAACTGTGTGATCCCAAGGGCATTTTTCAGCATGCAATTAAAGGATGCCAAAATTTCTACAGAAAATAAGGGTTGGTGGCCCTAAATAGGGCAGGCTTGTCACAGAGGGATTTGGCTGTTTGTAAAAAATAAAAAAAAAAACATGTAAAAGAAAAAGTAAGGAGAGAACTGAGCAAAATGAAAGATAACTCTACCCATGGGAAAACGAGCTGAAATCTGAAAGATGCCCTGTGGCCCTGAGTTTCTAGAGTCATTCATGAGATGTGTGTGTGTAAAAATTCCTCTTGGTAGTTCTAGGAGGCAAGTACCATTATCATCACCATTTTAAAAGATGGTCTCACTCTGGTTGAGATGTCACTCTGGTTCAGACCTGTCTACATCACACCCTGTCTTCAGCGCTGGGTACCACTCTAGCTCCACCCTCGCCCACCAATAAAAGCCATCTGCATCTGTCAGTCTCTTGGGGTACTCCACTCCTTTTAAAATTCATCCACAGAAACAGATCTGTGACGGAGGTTGATTTCTTGCAAACAAAATATTTTGAGTTATCTTCCATTAACATTTAGACTTGAACAACAGCATTTTGTGGCAATGCTCTCACCAAAAGGATTTTAGAGTTCCTGCTTAGGAAATAGTCTCAGGCAGGAAGATAGAGCTTGGAGCTCACCTAAGACACTACCCTTTAAGTGACAATTCCAACTTTTTAGAATAATAATAGCTGTTTGCATTTCAAATTGCTTTACAAACTCTAAAAACCCTATCTGACCCTCATACAGCTCTATGAAGGTCAAATATTTCTATTGTACAGGTAAAGAAGCCAACTCAGTGATACTAACGAGCTGGGGTCAGCCAGTGCAAAGCAGACTTGAACCCAGGCGTTGTGACTCTAAATGCTGTGCTCATCTCACATCTGCCTTCTTAGGCATGGCTCTAAAAGCAAAGATACACCCAGCTGGAGATCACACCCCAATTTGTTGGTTGTGCTAATGATACAGTGTCAGAAGCCTAGAGGGTTAGTGCCTGCCCAGTAACTCCAGCAGAAAATGTTTCAGAATACCCTGAAGTACCCCCTTTTATTTCCATCTCCTACTTATTTGAAGTGTATGTTGACACACAGAAATTCTGCTATAAAAGTTGTGGTGGAAACTCTCCCCATTCTTTGAGCCTACACAGGCTACGTTTTGATTAGAGCTTGTTGCTAAAAGCCAGGCCTAAACCAGAGCCCAGGCCCCACAGGACAATTTCATTCTTTTCCAAGATGCACTCTTTTCCTCCTAATCGCTGCTGAGCATCTTGTGTTGCAGATAGGACAGCTGTGGTCAGGGTTCCCTGGAGGAGGTGAGAGGACAGGGGCAGGAACCCCACACCCTCTGTGGGGGACACTCCACGGCCCTATCTCAAAGTGCCTCCTGGGCCTCGAGCTTCAGCATCACCTGGGAACTTGTCAGACACGCAAACACTCCCGTCCCAGACCTACTGAATCAGAAACAGCAATCTTCTTTAACAGGCTCTCCAGGCGACTCTGTTGTAGGCTTAAGTTTGAGAATGTAACTTTCTTAAGTTGATTGCTAGAGAGCATCAACCTCAGATTTGACAGATACTATTTTCATTGTAACAATAGTGGTGTGCTGCAAAATTTGCATGAAAATGATTCCTTACCGCATGCCCACATATCCACTGGCTTTCCATAAGGATCTTTACGTAAAACTTCTGGAGAAAGATATCCAGGTGTACCAGCAAAACCTAGGGAAAACAGATGTTAATGAATGAAAACCAACTTGGCAAAACCAATATGAAATGGCAAAGCAAGGAAGAAGCTTCTTTGGGCTTCTTTATCTGTTGATCTGTTTGTCAGGATAAGACACAGCTCTTAGGGAAATAAAATAACCTGGATGAGCTTCTCTCTATAGCAGTGTTAACATCAATCTGTCCTGCATTGTAGCTAATTAGAAGAAACACATCTTTCTTTCCCCCAGATAGAAAAACCTTTCTAAGGTGCTGCAAAGTCAGTGTATACACTTCAGACTGCTTGCTCAGCAGCTCTGATTCCCCTTCATGTGGAAGTTAAAACTGAACCTGTGAAAGGGTCAGACATGCCACCCCATGCCTGGGGAGAAATCAGGAGAAAACCGCAGAAGGTGACACGTATCATGCTGCCTACGTAATATATTAGAGAGGCTGTTGCTGTTGTTGAGTTGCTCAGTCGTGTCTGACTCTTTGCGACCCCAGAGACTGCAGCCCACCAGGCTCTTCTGTCCGTGGGATTTTCCAAGCAAGAATACTGGTGTGCATTGCCATTTCCTTCTCTAGGGGATCTCCCTGACCCAGGGATCGAACCTGTGTCTCTCGCATTGCAGGTGGATTCTCTACCGCTAAGCCACCAGGGAAGCATTATTATGAGGGGTATTTACCTAGAAAGTGGGGCTTGCCTGGTGGCTCAGATGGTAAAGAATCTGCCTGCAATGAGGAAACCTGTTTCTGATCCCTGGGTCAGGAAGAGCCACTGGAGAAGGGAATGGCTACTCACTCCAGTGTTCTTGCTGGAGAATCCCATGGACAGAGGAGCCTGGTAGGCTACAGCCCATAGGGTTGCAAAGAGTCGATATGACTGAGTGACTAACACTTATCTACAAAGTAGAAGGACCTAAAACATAGATCCTGGGGATAAATTTAAAGCAAATTTTCAGTAAATACTTTTGATAGTGAGGTAGTCTAAGGGAGGAGGATGGGGCTGAGAGTAACTGAAGAACTCACTAGGAGAAGAAATGCACTCATAATATATCAAAGAGCTCACTCTGTACTAATAAGTAATCACTGTGTACTTATAACTGGCAACTGAAGAGGAGACTCAGGAATATTTAGATGAGTCACTACTGAACAAGTATCAGCTAGACTTTTAAGAGATGAGGTATGCAAAACTAGATGGCTAAAGAAAGTTTCCTATCAGATAAATCAGTACTTCCAAGAAGGTATACTTAAATGATAATTAATAGCTAGCATCCAGAGTAAAATACTTATTTATGAAAATAATGGTTTTCAAATAAAAAATATTTACTTTAAAAATCACCAAAAATAGCTATGGCTATTTGGAAATTTTCTTTAAATGCATACAGAAATTGGAAAGTGTTCTTTAAAAGAATATGTAATCAGGAATTCCTCTGACTACAAATCAGTGGTGAAGCACATTGTTTATTTACTGGGATGCAAAGCGTCCAAGGAAGGAGCTTTCCCCACCTCCAAAACAAATCTATACTTAGAAGCAAGCATACATATAATAACTCGGTTACAACAAAGTTACATTTTGAGGCAAAGGATTTTGGATTTCACTTTTCCCCCCATTTTCATTACCTGTCCTCTCCTGTTTGCTTTAGAGGAGGATGAGGAGGACAGTGAGAAGGAACTTCAAGAAAAGACCTGTATGCTGTAGTTTAAGCTTTACATGGACCACGGTGGATCCACCTCTATCTCAAACTTTATTTGATAGAAATGTTTGTTCAGTAGTTGTGAGCTGGAAAGAATTATTGAGCAACAGTGGTGGTTCCCCTGCCTGAAGTTCAAGGACTACCTGAAGGAGCCATGTGAAAGTTTGCTATTCTAAGGCAGAGGCAGGCACACTAGCTTTCAAGAGCTTTTCAGGGCTTCTCATTGCCATATCTGCTCTCGCATTCCAACCACTCCTTTCCAACTCCTCCAAATGTTGAGACACAAAGTGAATCCAATGGGAAACAGATTCCAAAGCCCAGATTAAAGACTGAGGTCCCACCTGGCATTTTAAGATACTTTATCATCTGGTCCTACCCACTACTTCCCCTTCGTTCACTCAACATAGTATCTTTCTACTTCTGGGCACTTAACCTAAAAAATCTCTAAGATTTCTTGAAAATAAACTTTCCATTTTCACCCTTTTTCTGTTTTTTGAACCCTCGATTTTTTTGTGTATGTGTGGGAGGGAGTACTTTTCTCTAACATAGGGTGACTAAATTACTTCCGTCTCCTACAGTTCTCAGTGGTCCGTCCTTTCTCTGAATTTTGACTACCCTTTTATATGCAATCTGTAACCTCCTATCTAGAATTGGTAAACTTTAATGTATGTCTGAAATAACTTGGTAGAATACATGCCTGGAGTAGGAAATGTTAACACTTCATCGAGGTAGAAAAGACAAAGAAGCAATCACTATGCAAGAAATGAAGTGATAATCCTAAGTGTAAATTATTACAAACCTCTTCTGGAGACTAAAATGCTAAGAGATACTTGCTCCTATTTAGCACAACTGTCATTTGAGCAGTCGGGGATCCTTACCCCTAAGAATAGTGAAGCCTACATCTACACACACAAATGTTAAAACAGTGCACTTTACAACATGTTCTCATGAATACAGAAATACTGAGGGTAAGACAAACTAGATGTTCTTTAGCATGAGATTAAACTCCCAAATCTAGTTTATTATGATATAAACTATCAACAGGAATTTAATGAGAGCTAGCCTTCCTTAGAGACGGTGTATGTTTCTCATTCTGAAAAACCAACAGGAATACCAGAACAGATCAAAGAGAAAACAGAATTACTTACATGCAGAATCCACTGCAACATACTGCCGCTAAAAAACCCTTAATATTTAAACAAGAGACATAATAACATAATAGCAACCAAGCAAAAGAATTCTTCCATAAGAAATAGACCATGGCAGTTACCCCTTTTTCCTAGTAGCAAAACAAAGAAAAAAAGAAAGAAACAAAGAAATGATTGCAAACAGCATTTCCAATCTCACAGGAGAAACAGATTATTTGGTAAATCTTCTAGTTTACCTTACACATGTGTTACAGGGTGCTACTACTTCTAGGCTTTTTGGCTATATACAAAAAAAGACAGAAGAAGTAACATGGGAAAAACAAACATTTGATCTTGAAAATAAGGAAATAACTTCTAGAGTGGCTTGAATAGTTTAATTTTTATTTGGAGTAGACCTCAAATTTATTAAAATAAAACTATGTAAAAGCTTGAAACTCTGGCATTACACATAATGAAGAAAGAGTTCTGCTTTTTTCTTATTAAAATAAAAAGGTTCCCCACTCAAAACCTTTACATCTTTTAAAATATAAAATTAATCAGTCAAATACATGAGACTATGGCAGAAAACGGAATAAATATAAAAACAAATCATTCATACTAAAACACTCCTTTCTTCCTAAAACTTAAAATACATCAGGCAATGTCTCCAAAAGAAAGGTAGTGCGCCACACTCCCTTCACTTAGTTACCCAGCAGACTCACTGAGATTTGAGTTGAATGTGCTCGGCTGCTCAGTCATGGCTGACTCTTCGCAACCCACTAAAAAAACAACTTTAAAAGAAAGCTAAAAAAAGTATTCTCCTAAGCTTAGAAACTATGTTTTTTTATACTTTTAAAATGATGAATTTTCTTAGACCTTAAAATGTATCTTTTAAAAGTCATTACCCTAATAGGTATCTTAGCAGGAACTTAGCTGATTATCACCATACCAAAGAAAAAAATGGGAATTTTACTCCCCATCTGTCATTGTTTCTCTGAGACCAGTTTGCCTTGAGAAACGAATTATCGCAATTTGAAAATCTGTGTACTTTTATATGGATGCTATTGCTTTCACTAGCCTGATATTTAGTCATTCACTCAACAACTTCTACTGTGTAGGCTGGTTCTGTGACATGTTTCATTCTAAGACAGTTTTGAAAACTTACTGAACAGCTTTGAAAACCCAGGCATATTTCGATGGTCTGCTTCACTCATCTCATAACAGCCTCATGAAAGAGTGTTTATTATTTCCATCTGCAGAAAGGACACTGACCTCACAGAGTTAAAGCGACTTGCCTAATATTATGTAGTTGTTAAGAATCAGAGCCAGGATATCAGCTGCAGTATTTTAATTCAAAAAGCAGAAACTTTGTACTACACATAGTCCCTCAAACAGCTTGTGATCTAACAAAGAGATGAAATCTCACCCAAACAAGTGAGATTTCAGGAGCTCAACTTCAATACTCTCATAAGCATCATCCAAGTTGTCAATGTTAAATTTGATCCTTGGCTCTGTAATAAGGCTTCTGGCTTATTCCCGATATCCAATTATCATCTTGTACATAGTTCTGGCAATCACATCCCTGAGCCTAAGTCCCTTTTTTGGTATCTCGTGAAGTGGGGTCCTGCTTTGTTCTAGAAAGGACTAGAGTTCTGTCTTGGAACCCAACTTGCAGGATTCTGATTTCCTCTAAACAGATTCCCTTAAAATTCAGGGTTCCTGTCCTTTCTGCTTGTTAACCTGGAACTTGCTTGCTCCTGTGTTCTTCTTAGTTCAAGCTGTCTTCATGCATAATTTGAACTTCTGCCTTATCTTACCTGGTTGCTTGCCTGCAGGCTATCCTTAAAGCCATCCTCCTACCAAATAGTTACTCAACAGAAACCCGATTATGTCCTCCTCTAACTCAAAAATTCTCACCAGATTCCTAAATCTAAGATAAATTCTGAATCCTTCAAAAGAACATAAAATCCTTTCTTACTTCATCAGCTCCCCAACTCAGCATACCTTCTACTTTAGCTGTAATCAACTTCTCGCTATTCCTGAAACAGAAAAAACTATTTCATGCCTCTGAAATTTTGAATGTGTTGATCCTTCTGTCTGGAATGCCTTTATCTCCTTGCATGCCAGTGAACAAAACTCCCATTCAGCCACCAGAAAGGGGGAAGCCTTGTCTCAGTCACTGAAATTTCCACAATTCTTCTCTCGTGCTCCAGAGCACCTCACACCAGCTTCTGTTAAAGGTGCTCCCACGCGGCCTGCTAAATACTCACTGATACGCAAGTATGAGTATTTTGAAGGGCAGGACCTCCTAATCCATTTCTGTATCTCCAGTGATTTGCTCTGCCCATCTCTGTGATAGCCCCACGACTTCCTATTGAATCCCAAGTCCTGTAAGTGTATGTTCTTTATCAGGGTCAATTATACTCTTTCCTAGGATAAAACGATGTCTCTGAATCTCAGATTTACAGCACTAATTCTAGGTCTTACCTCTTTTCAGTTTGCAGTTAATAGGAACAGCTTTGTCCAGTTACATGACAAAGTATGACACAACAAATGCCAAATTTTGAGGTATTAGGTTCACCTGGTAAGTAAGGACAACCTTAATGTAAAAGGCCGTATTCAACAGAGGTATCAGAGACAAGGATAGTGGTCAGGCACTACTGAAGCAGGGCCGGCAGCACAAAATGAGGTCCTGAGTTAGGCTGCCTTCAGAGGCGGTGGATGAGGCTGGCCCACCAGCCACCCCTGTTAAGTGGCTGGGGCAGATGAGAGAGAGATGGGCGGTCCTGGGAGATCTGTGTACTTTTCAGTACATGTGTATGTTTAGGGATACAGAAAACTACTTGTATAGAAAACAAAAGAAGTAAGCATTTTTTGAGCTCTCTTTCTATTTGTTGTTATTGTTTAGAGGACAAGCAATTCAAACTGAAGGGCATTTTGCCACTGGCCACAACATGGATAGACCTAGAGACTGTCATAGTGAGTGAAGTCAGACAGAGACAAATATAAGACAGCTTATATGTGCAGTCTAAAAGGCACAAATGAACTTTTTACAAAGGAGAAGTAGAGTCACAGATGTAGAAAACAAATAGAAATTTGTCTGGGGTAAAGTAGTGTGACATATACACACTACTGTGGCGCTAGTGGTGAAGAATCTGCCTGCAAATGCAGGAGACATAAGAGATAGGGGTTTGATTCTTGGGTCAGGAAGATCCCCTGGAGGAGGGCATGGCAACCCACTCCAGTATTCTTGCCTGGAGAATCCCACGGACAGAGGAGCCTGGCAGCTAAAGTCCATAGGGTCACAAAGAGTCAGACACGACTGAGGTGACTTAGCATGCCTGCACAATCACACTGCTATTTATAAAATAGATAACTAATAAGGACCTACTGTATAGCACAGGGAACTCTACTCAATATTCTGTAATGGCCTATAGAGGAAAAGAATCTGAAAAAGAGTGGATATACATATATGTATAGTTGGTTCACTTTGCTGTACTTCTGAAACTAACACAACATTTAAAATCAACTATGAAAGTGAAAGTGAAGGCTCTCAGTTGTGTCCGACTCTTTGCGACCCATGGACTGTAGCCTACAAGGCTCCTCCATCCATGGGATTTTCCAGGCAAGAGTACTGAAGTGGGTTGTCATTTCCTGCTCCAGGGGATCTTCCTGACCCAGACATCAAACCCGGGTCTCCTGCACTGCAGGCAGACACTTTACCCTCTGAACCACATGAACTATATTCCAATTCTAATCTCAACACACTGGCAGTGAGGACAGAGGCAAAGCGGCAGCTTGTGGAGACGTTATATTTTAGGATGCCGCCTGAAAAGTGGATTAATACTCAGCAACAGCAGAAAGAGAAGCATAAGAAATTCAGTGGTAAAATAATTTATCAGAACAATTCATAAACTTGAAATAACATAATCCAGAAATATTTAATACCATAATTTAAATTTGTTTAGAGTTAACCTCGTCCTTACTTGCAAGGAAACAGAAATTTCATGACACAGAAATTTCAAAATTGTAGAGCAGAAACTGGCACTTTGAAAAAATAGAAGATGCAACTTACACCCACATATATAGATTCATAACACCATATATTATATAAATTTCTCTCTATATGCTTTATAATATTTTTAAAACTTAATATTGCTAATCACAAAATATGCAAAATACTGTGCAAATATTTCCAGAGTACCTAGTTACATAGGAGATTTCAGCATCAAGTGAGGCTGTATTTGGACAATCAATTTTCTCTCAAATAAAATACTCTTTGAATACTGCAATCCTCCTATTAATTAATACAGCACCCATTTTTCATCAATTCTTTAAGAAAAAAGGTCCGTGTTACTGCTCTTCTATTATATTTCCCCTTATTTTTAGACTTATACTCTTTTAATGTCACTAAAATTAGGTACTTATAAAAGTCCACTATCTTACGACTAGTCGAGCTGTCAGAATGAACGTTTCCGTTTCCCTGTGGCTGGTAAGCGGGATGGGACTGCGGCCCAGAGAGCGCGAGCAGCATGCGGGGGGTGGGGGGGGGGGGGGGGGGCCTACTCACCGAACCACGCCTGCTGATCTCCTTGGACCTCTATGGCTAGGCCAAAGTCGGCGAGCTTCACAGCGGCTCCCTTGGATTTGCTAGCTAAAAGCAAATTCTCAGGCTTTATTTAGAAAGAAAAGAGAGACTGATGTGAGAATCTATTTTAAGTGACTCTTCAAAACTAACATTTCGTAAGATTAGGAGAAAAAAAAAAAGTCATGCACTGTTCTCTCTCCCGGAGACTGTCATTCCTAAATCCCAGGGAAAATATGGTTAGAAAATGATTACAAATGATCATGTGTGCAGGCTTCAGACAGATGCATGTATGTCCTGGAGAGATACTGGGCTGAAGAGAGTATCACTTGGGGAGAGTTCAAATGAATGGGAGCACCTGTCTTGACCTGCTCACATGCTTCCAAGTGCTGCTTGAGGTCCAGACTTGGCCACGGACATTGGCTTAGAAGCCTAACAGAGCACAGACATTTTTCAGCAGAAGGGAACTTGGCAAAATGATAACAAGAGTTGGACCAATCTACAGACATTTGGCAAGTGAAACTGTGCAAATTAAATCCTAGTTGACTTCAAGAGTTTGGACCCAAATGTAGTGATTTTCATTCCTCACTGTTTCCAAACAATTTCTGTACAAATTTTGGAGTCTTATTCTGATTATGTATTAAAATTGCTGTCTTTAAGAATCTGTTTATTCTTAAAGGCAGAAAGAGTCTACTCTTACATGCCAAATGTTATAGTTGGCTTTTTTTTTTCATAAACTAGTTTTTAAAAACATAATGTATATGTCTTCAAAGTGTGATTCAAAATATTACTTATATATTTATTTTCACATCTCAGAATACTATAAGAGAGACGCATTTTAATTCTCTCAGGTATTTATCATTACTCAAGGACTGATAACTCAATCCTGGAATGAGGCTGTGTCTACACCACTGTTTCCCAACCAGTCATCGAGACGCATTGGTATTTTGAAAATAAGCACCATGAAAAATTCTTGACTTTCCCTGGACAGCTTTTGTGGGTTTTAAGAAATGAAGGGAAAAGTTGGTCAGGAAAAGGGGGCCAATTAATGCATAATGTAAATCTATCATCCTTAGATCCTTAGGTATCCGGATGAAAGTTTGTCTGGATTGGTATGTGTATTCCGGAGAGTGGTTCAACATCTTCTAATCTTGGGCTACAACCCAGCAAATTTAGAGGTGTCTCAGACTGAAAAAAGTTGGGAAACAATGGACTCTCCAAATGCCAAAACAACTGTATGAAACATTTAAACATTCTGTTATTCAAATTGGTTTTGTTTATATATTAACAAACAACTGATTTCAATTTTTTTTCATGAAATTTGCTACTTTTTTCCCTTGCTGAATTAGTCAATTCTCTTGTTGTTTTGACCTTGTGTAAACACAGCCTAAACCAATATTCATTAATTAAGCCAGCCATGCAAATTAGCAAAGACTCATAACCAGAGCTCAGAAGAAATTAGCTTAAGTCTACAGGAACTGAAGTGTAGGCAAGTAAGTTTTAATCAAGTACCAGACTTCTTCAGGCTATTGCTGCTCACTGCCATCAGATTCACCACTGTTATGACAAATGGTAATTTTAAGGAAAACTTTATAATGTTTTAGGACTGACAGGGTTTTTACCTAAACACTAAACACATGAAAACTTAATTTGGATGTTGGGATGAATATGTCTTAAGAATATGAAAGATCTCTATGCTAAAATAGCTTTCATTAAAATCTAACATTTGAAATTACTTGGAATTCTTGTTTATCTATCACTATACTATAGTATCTAACCATGCTATATGATTAATATTTAACATTTTATTTTCCCAACTAAAACTTATGGTCACTGCATTTATGTACCTTCTCATTTAATCAAGAAGTGATTGCCAGCTATTAATTTATGGAATAAATACCTTGGAAGAAAAACACAAACAATAAACGGCTCTGTGACCTTCATATTCAAAAGCATTGAGATGTCAGAGATCTCTGCAAATACCCAGCTGTCTTAATTTGTCAACACAGACTCATTTAGGGAAAGAGTTTCAATCACTTTAGAAATCGCAATCATTTTAGGTCTTTTCAATTTCAAGTGGTATTTAACTTTGTTGACCAAATGCCAGTGTCATCAATGAATAAACTTATAAACAATTCAATGTGCTTTTATTCTATTAACAAATCAAAAAATTCTGGGCAGTGCTGGGTGCATTATGCCCTTGTACACCAAGTATCTGCTAATTCAGAAGAAAGGGAACGCCTTGGAGTTTTCTGATGCACAGTCTCCGAATGACTGAGGCAAATACTCATACCTAGAGACGATCTCTAAGACCTCTCTGTAGGGCCCTGTGACTTATCCAGGAAATAATAAATCCATCTGGATTAGTGTTTCACTTTATACCCAAGAAGACTGTTCAGCTGCAGTTATGCACAGGAAAAGGTATGGCTATTTCAAGGTTACTATATAGACTCAAATATTAATAGCACTGAAATGACTTCATGTTCAAGCGTATCTTTAGGCAAACCTAAAATACAGAATTATGGAGTACAAACTGAAAAATGAGGATGATTACTGACTTTATTAAAGGATTATTTGTTTTATAAAATATTTTATCACAAGATTGCTTCTAATGGCCAGCTTCAAAAAAACATTAAAAATATCACATACTTTTGATTTATAGTCAACTCTTTGGAATATGTTTGTTTGATAATCTTTTATCATGTTCTGCAAGGATACAGGAGATTTAATCACCAAGATTTTCTAAAGCAGCATTTAAACCAAGGCAGTACACATATATTTTAATTGCTACCATTTAGATAGCTTCCAACTTAAGAACATATTGCACTACAAAAGTTCATTGGCAAGTTGATAAATTTAGATTATGAATGTCTACAGAAAGTAAGATAATTTGTGGTTATATTCCACAAAAACTGAAATAGTAGAATCTCTCATCAAATTAGTGGCTACTTCCTTATAGAAAGGGTCACCATTACACCATTAACTGCTAATCTACTATTTTGACCTTCTAAAACAAATCAGAAAGGTGAGATCAGAAACTCCAGCCTCCCAACACAACTATGTTTGAACATGGGGGCACAGCACTATGATCTAGATAGAAAAGGAAGACATGGATTTATGTCCTGGGCCTGATTCTTATTATTAATTATTAATTCTTATTAATTATGTGGATTTGGGCTATTCAGACCTTTGAAGCCAAGTAACTAGTTCTTCACCTCGCAAATGAACATTACAAATATATATATTTTAAAATCTTATAACAGTATGTATAAAATTATAAAACCCCGTTGGGTTTTATCACAGGGGTTTGTCCTCTGTAAGAGACATTATGTGCATTAGTGATCAGCTATTACACTCCAGTACAGCTGGCCATTTCAAATGTGTAGAACACTGAATATCTGTAATGAATGCTCATGACTTGAGAAACGTCTGCATTTCTAAATTAAGTGCAATCTATTATGTTAATATTTACACATTGAGATTACCCCTAGATTCTTATAATGCATCACTGTTTAGATTGGTTTTTAAATAGATTCTACTGACATTCTCACACACAGGTTCCTTCCCCACCCCATTGCTTCCTAATGATGCAGGATTTTCCACGACATCTGGTCTTAGTGTCAACAACCATTTATAGCATATCAGCTGTAATGAGCAGCAACTGCTCGCAAGTTTTGTTCTGTACTTCCATATGGATACAATGGCAACTTCTTTCATCAAGATTTGGGCTTTTCTTGAAACTGTTCAAGTATCTCAAAGTACTGAGGCAAGTTTCTGGAATCACTTTCAGAATTGCAAGAGACCTGGGAGATAAACTAATTCAAACCCCTCTTTTTCTAAACGAGCTAGGGAGGTTCAAAAAGATGAAGCAAGGGCTTGAGGTCAGATTTCCTGATACCTTCCTTTTAAATATGTGATTCTGAGGTATAAAAATCATTCATTTTTCAAATGGGAATCTATTCAGTAGATATTTTAAGAAGAATTTAAAGTACTCAAAAATATTTACCCATATTTTCCCATATTCAAATAAAACATGGGAAAACTTATGAAAAAGGCATAATTTAATCTTTGCTTCTTAAAAATCTCACAAACATATCACAGGGATTTCTCAATTAGCATGATGTTTATTAAAGAACTGATTCAGCAGAGGTGATGATCATCTTCAATGTGAGTCATATAAACATCTTCAATGTTAGTCATAAGACAGATTTATCTGTGCACATACATGATAACTAGCCAGTAAACTCAAACATATGCAATTTAAGTTTAGTGAAATCATGTGTATTTTACTTTCTTTAAATGTTTTGCTCTTTATGAATATTATAAAACAGCAGGTTATGAGTTTTATTATTCTATGTGATTTGATTCTTACGCCACCCTGGATACTGGCTTTTAAGAAGTGACACAGTCTTTTAAAATTTCTTTCCTCAAGTGGAAAGTGTCAATATTCCAATATGAAGTTCATCAGTCAGTGCTTTGGTGGGTTTTCAGTCACTTCTTTGCCAAAGAAGGTGTGAACAAAGCTCCTAAAATTCAACTAAATGAAATCTTGTATGAATTGACAAGCCTGACTATCAGGCTCATTCACACATGTGGTGAGGTCCTTTTGTGCACACGACACACGTGACTTTTGCTTTTATTTTCACGTGGTGGATGCCTGAGTTGATGTCCTCAGCATGGGGAGTTCTGAGCTGATGAATGCACTCTAAGTTTGTGATGAGGAAGTTCATATGAGCAAGTTCCTAAGAATTACTCTGTATTACATTCCTGTTTCTTGATGCACTTCTAACATTAATTATCAGCACACACTATCAAGTAGACTGAAAGAACCAGGGTGTAACCACAGGGACCACACCAATCACCTACTGTTTCTCCACAGCCTGACACACACCGAGTACTTCATAGAGGAACAGGAGAACGACTAGATGGATTATGGAATTTGTCACATAGTTTGTAATGTATCTACATGTACATTAAAGACTATGATATAGCCTTTAAACTTTTTTTTTAAAGATGATTTTGTGAAAAGTGAAGTACTTGTGATTTTGTAATCAAGGAAAATGCAGAAATCAGTATCTGACATAGCTACCAATGGTGACAAGGATTTACTGAATGCTTGTCACATTTCCAGAAAATGAATTTCCTTCTTTTCTGGTCATACATTTAATTTTGGGTCTACGAAAGTCTTAAAAATCCTCCCAAATTTCCAGAATTACTATCTTCACTAAAATATATCTATCCATCCTTCTATCTACTTACCTACCTATCAATCTTATATTCATCTACCTGTCTAATGATTTTTCCGTTAAATAACACTTCTTCAGGAGGTAGGCTTTAAGAAGACAATATTTTCTACCAAGGCAATTCACCAGCCTATTTGTTGCTAAAAGATTCAGTTGTATGTATGCAGCCTCTATTCCAGAGAGCTGCTCATGAGGCAGTTGAGTAACCACTTCTGATACACCTTGAGCTGAAGAAATTTTACTACTTTGTGTGAAAAATGGTTATTTGAAAAAGTACAGCTATGTAACTGTCTCTTTTGAGCTACTTCCTTCTGTCAACTGATTCAGAGAAACTGTATTCTCCACGCTCTTACGTGAGAGAACACATCTGACTTGATATTACCTTATTTACTGTGACATCGAGAGTCGCCGCTTTTTACCGCAGCCTCCTTTGGACCTGATGTGTTTCTGGAGGCGGCGCCTGTCTAGTGTACTTCTGTCTTCCTGCGAGGAGCAGCGTGGACACATCTTCCACAAATGTCTAAGCGATCTTTTAACTCATTGGCCTGTACGTTCCATGTATACAAGGTTTGTTTTTGTTTTGCTGTGTAATACATGCCTAAACCTAAGACAGGGCCTTAATAGGTGCTTGAGAAATACTTGATTAATGTTTGTTCTTCTCTTTTGATACCTGAATTTTTAATTATCAGTTCACACAAATATCCCCCCACATTACAGTAATCCTCTCTTCATAAATGATTGATTTTTTAAGGACTCCAAACTGATTGTCTTGATGTGGCCTAAATTAAATGTGGCAAATCCATTTCATTCTTCTCGATGTCTCATTTTCCAAAGGCTGTGGACAACGCCACCTTACTGATATCCTAAACAGAACATTATCACTTTTTACACCAGTCTTTTGTCAAAATTTATGCTGTTCTCCTACTCTACTTTGTCTTAACTATACCTTATTCTCTTCTTCCTAATGATACAAATTTTGTATAGCTCTGAAAAGCCACAGTTGGGGATTATTTTAATCTCTTGATTCACTAAATTTAGACTGACTTCCCCAAATAACTCTCAATGCTGATGGTAAAATGAGTTTCGCATCACTGTTGTGAACTCTTCTTTGGTCTCTATGAGGGTTTTCAATTCATTTATCTAACTGTACTGAGAAGTGGCAGGGATTAAGCTTGCAGACCCTGGAGCCCAACGGCTTGGGCACAAACCCTGTCTTACTAGCTGTGACCCTGAACAAGTCCTTTTCTCACGGTTGCTAATCTCCTCTTAGGTAACATGGAGACAATCATGGTACCTTCCTCATGAAGTTATTCTGAAGATTTGGATAATACAGCGCAGGGTATAGAGAAACTGCTTGATAAATGGCAGCTATGGCCCTTTTATTTTTATTAAGGTTCTGCCTTGATCCAAACCCTCTCATATCCCTCAACTATAGGCCTGTAACTATGTCACCACCGCAGGACCTCCCTAAGAGATCTACACCCATTTCCTGACACTGACTGCACCTTAGACCAAAGACTGTGGTCCATGGGTCCACTGGATACTGCCTGGGGCTGCCTGGCATGCTGCCAGCATCTCACCACCCTGAACTTTCTCCTGCTGTTGTCTCTGGGACATCCTCAAGTTGCCTGCTATGCCCTAGCCTTGTCTCTAGGCCTGATAAGTTTCCATCTGGAGGATTCTACTGTCTAAAAAGTGGAAGTTATTAAAATATTAAAAAAGAGATCTTCATGTTACCACTGAATCAGAGGATATGCTTATCTTCTTTTATTCAACATTAATGAATATATCACAACAGCCTATTTTACTCAGTGCTGTCTTTTAAATGACAAATGTACTTTTGGTTGAACTTTATTCTTTCCTGAACTGAAGGACTATGCTGCAAGTGTTAACTAGGTACAAGGTCCCACGTTAGGTACTGGGAAGGAACACAAATGGCTATTATCCTCAGAGGAGTTTATAGACAACCTGTACAGTACTCCTATGCTCACAGGTGCCTATGATGATGATGATAAATGTAATACATCCTGTGTCTTTATCTCACTGATATGGACAAATTAAACTGTGTCTATTGCACATGAATTAACCCCATGGTCTAATGTAGCCCACCAGGCTCCTCCGTCCATGGGATTCTCTAGGCAAGAATACTGGAGTGGGTTGCCATTTCCTTCTCCAGGGCATCTTCCCATCCCAGGGATGGAACCCAGGTCTCCCGCATTGCATGCAGATGCTTTAACCTCTGAGCCACCAGGGAAGCACTGTACATGAATTAACATATGAATCTTGCCCTGGAAGCAGAAATATATGGCCTAATAATTGTAAGGGCAACATTTGTGCTTAAAGCCTGATAAAAGATTTCAGCAGCTGATGTTTTTCATTTTAATATATTGGTAAATGTGTTATTCCAAGCTGTATACTTATCAGATTATGCACCATGGGTATAGAAGCCACAGATGAAAGCCAGCGACAGGGCATGCTTAAGCTGCCCCTGCACACAAGCTTGGGCCTCTGTTGCTGTTTATGTCGTGGCCTATTAGGAACTAGACTCAACTGAAGCTTATCCAAGTCAGCGATGTGACAAAAACTAAGACAACAATTACAGACATTACTAAGACAACAATTACAGAAATTATAACAAGCTTCATCAGAAGTTCATCTCCATCCTCTCCTTAAATCTGAGTAAGAATGGAAAGCAAAAACACTTTCCCCATGAAAGAAATCTGAGGGGTGATGCAGCAGGCTAATTTCTTTTAGTAGCAGCCTCTCTGGAAATCACCTGCATGCGTTTTTAATTAGTGACTTTAGCTCATATGTCAGAAAACATCTTTTCCTTCCCATTCCACAGCCTAGGCTCACTGACATCTCTGATAAAAGTTCCGGTCTTTGAAGGACTCAGCTGAGTTTGGACATTTACAGAAGTGCAATATCAAGACCTCAAAAAATATATTTCCAAAATCCTGGAACAAAATTTGCATTTCTCATCGTGGCTTTAAGACTATACTTATAATTACATAAATGAAGTAAAATATCTCAAATGATAAATGTATTAAACAGTAAGAATAGCACCAACAAGGTGCATGTCTACATTCAGTCACTTAAAAAGGAAAGTAGCACTGTGAGTTCTAAGAAGCAACAAAAAGGGGCACTGTCTTTATGTGGCTACTAAGCAGTTTTTGAGGTGATTGCCAAATATATGAATCTTCAAAGGAACACATTCTTTTTCCTTTTTCCTGATGGGTAAATTTGGTAAGCGCTAGCAGATGGACACAATTCTACCTTGGTTCTCCAAAAGAACAAGCTCTCAGACTCAAACTGAAATCAAAGGAAGGTTCTAGAAAAGGCAATGTTTTGCTTACAGATCACATCTTCAAGTAACTTGCTGTGAATCACTGAAGAAATATTCTTCCAGAACATACAAAATGAGTAGGAAGTACTGTAACAAGAGAAGTATGCCCAGGAGAAACCAGCCTAGGTCCCAAACACGTTACAGTTTGACATTCTAAATTATCCTTCGCCACCTTTGTACTAACGCCTGGAAAAGGCTGAGGTTTCAAATGAAAAGTCACAGCTCCACCGTGCTCCCATGTGCTATGTTGCCCACCTAGGAATTTTCCTCCATTAAATTTCCAGGTGTAAGTAAAGCTAGAATGCTGAGAGAAGAGGCCAGAGAATTAATAACAAGATGGTCACCTCTGAAATGTTTAATTTCTAAATGATCTGAACACTTCTCATTCTCAACGGTTATCAGAAACTGAGTCAAGTCTTTAAAGTATTAGTATGTAGCTATATGCTACATATGTACTATTTGATAATAAGATTTGTTTTACCCTTTTTCCACACAGTAGTATCTTGACCCCTAGAAATATAAGTAAATAAAAAAGCAGGAAGACTCAATGTCCTCAGAATTCCTGGGACTAATGTTAAGGGAAAAAGACTTTACTACCCACAATGGAGGCCTTTAACATCAATCTCGTGGGCCAAAAATCTACCTTACATTCATCTCTATCTACTTTATAATTTTGATAGCTATTTACAAAATATAGGTACATATAGTATGAGTTTGGTCAACAAACATGCCAATATGTTCACAGAACAAGTTTAAAGAGAAGAGGAGATCATCAGTCCTACTCAAAGTCACATTAGATGCTGTATCCTGTCCTGGGAGAAAGAAAATATAACCTACTTAGTGTTCATGTTAGGAAATGATTCCTCTCTGGATGAAACGGGATTCATATAAGTTTCAAGTGTGCATCAGAGAAGAGAGAAGTGAGAGAGACTGGCGAAGGAGTGTGTTTTCCTTATGTGCTGCAAAGAGTCCGCACACCTTTATTGCTCACATTTTTGCCTTTACAGGCATAACTGCAGCTGAACAGGCGTTAGGAATCGTGTGTGGTTTGTCTTCTCCAAGGGCATTACTCACCTTCAGGTCCCGATGGACTACGCCCATCTGATGGCAGTGTAGCACAGCCTCCAGGATCTGCTGAATGCAATGACTGCATGCAAACACCAGGGGGCGTGTGTTAGTTCCAAGCTTACACTCACTGTCTGTACACCCTCAGAGAGACTGGGTTAAAGTGCAAAACTAGCAGACAACTGGGGTTGCGTTTAAACATTTTCAGTCACGTAAACACACGCTCGAATAGAGTGACTACTACCTCAGGACAATCAGGATCTTGCCAGATGTGGGCCAAAATGTAGGTTCACTTGTTCTAGAAAAATCCACCTTAAAAACTTTCAATTCAGGAGCTCTTTCCCTGGTTATAAATCCTCACAGGAAATGAACTGGAACACAAGTATAGTTTTTATAGATTTTGTGTTCCACCTTCCCGCCACACAAAAAAAGCTGTTTCCCTCTTCTCTCCCATTTTTCTCGTATCATTTGAAAGCTGTCACATTAGCAGTCAAGGCTCCATTAAGGTTAAATTAGGATACGTAATGAATTTTTGATAAATCATTAACTTCGCGTGCTTTAATTTAGCTGGCAATCATCATCTCTTGCCTGAGGGTTCGTCGGACTCGAAAGGAGCAGTGGGGAACCAGTTGATCTGCTACAGCAACCCGTGGTCTCAGAACAGAAGTGGTGTTCAGCTCTACAGGCGACATACATCACAGGCCGGGGCATTTCCAGGCCAGTGCTGGGCATCTCGGGAAAGCCCGCCCCACACCGTCTCCGGTGGCGTGCTCCTCGGAACCTTAAGAGCTGTGCTTTCAGTGCTGGCCTTCCCTTTTGCTATGATGTATATTTAGCCTGTAGATGAGCAAACTGGAAGAGGCATCATGCATTATCATGTCATCACTTAGTCATTGTAAGGAAAAGTTGGGAAAGGCACGGGAACGACTGTACAACACCCACCCTCTGCCCTTTCCCCAGAAAAAAAACAAACAAAACTTCCTCTGATTCAGGTTTATGGACTCCATATACTGACCTTCAGGTCCCTGTGCACTATGCCATTTAGATGACAATGATTTACACTTTCTAGAATCTGCTGTATACAATGACTGTAAAGATACAAGGGTAGAATGGGAGGGAGAACATTTTAAAGGCACATAATCACATTGAATACAAAATAAAATGAAAATTTGAACAAAACAAACAAACGAACAAAAATTATATTTTTCACATTTTTTAGCTTTACACTGGAATTAAATAATGCTGGATAAAGCTAATTTTGGCAGTAACAAAAATGACATCCAACACAGAATTTGTGACATGTTCAGACAAAACAATTTGATATGTGTTTTCTTTCATTGCAACTCTATTAATCATTTGCTTATATAAGTAAAAATTTCCATATTCAGGGAGAAAATTTTATCAATAATTCTAGGAAATTTTATAAATAATTCTCACAATGTTCTGGGAAAATTCTTCAGTGAAATAAAATTTATGGGTATTTCTCATACACATCTAAACTGTTTAAAATCTGAGGTCACAATTAAACATAGGTGTTGAAACAAGAGGATAACACAAATGAAGTGGCAGGTGAAACAAGGGTTAAAAAAAAATGGAGGGAGACATTTACCATTTTGACTTAGAAATGGTGCTGCTTATATAATATATAATAGGAAAACTAATGCACGTCTCCAGTAACATAAGAAGAATTTAAAGTAAATCCATGGTATTAAAAGAAAACCTCTTCAGGATAACCATACTTTGGGGAAGGAATAAAAACTTGAAAAATAAAAATAAAATTTTAAATCCCCTGGAGCACTGGTGGTTGTTCGACACATTCCATACACCTCAGTGAAAGAAAACTTTTATTCCTATGTTAAAATGTACATTTATGTTATGTCAAATAGACTGCTAATTAAATTAGAGGGAAGGCATCACTGATGGACATCATAAGGTCCCATGAGCTGTCATCTGACATACAGGAACGTAAGACATATCACACTGAGGAATCCTGAACAAGGTCACTGTGTGATTCAAACGCAGGTATATCAGAGAACGACATTCATTCATTCAAGGATTAAGCAAATACTTTAGCGAGGACAGTTTCAATCATTTAATGGACAAAATACTACTACTCCAAAGTAAATTCTTGAATTAAAAAAAAGTAATCACTGTCTATCTGATTTATTACAACATAAGTGTCACAATGATCATGATTATGATTTTCTAGCTCTAACTCAATTTAAGTGTACCACTAAAAGAGCTTGAGAGAGATTGATTTTGACTATACAGCTTACTGGACTGTTGGTAATTATTTGCTAAATCATATAGCTTTTTTTCCTTCTACAGCAATGTTCACATTATACTTCTTGTTATGAATACTTTACTCTTTCATCTCAAGCCATTGGTATAAGTTTTTAGTCCTAATGAATAACAGAAAATAGAGAAGTAAAAAATAATTAATACTAAATAAGCTTTACCATATGTTACTAGTGAGAATGAATTCAATCCTTAACTTCTTGAGGGGTAGTACTAAACAGATTTTTACAAGTTACTTGCTCTTTATGCATATGGTTGAGAAGAGAATGTTTCTTCTCCTTAATTATGTGTGGGACCTATCCTAAACTGTATCCTACAGTAAATTTCAAAACTTAATATAAGCATGTATATTAAATGATCCAACATTTAGGGTCTATCCTGTTATCTTAGGGCTGAAAATAGTCTCTAATTTCAACCAGTATTTTGAAACACAATAACAACTTGTTTAAAATAACTTTGAAAAGCAAAATAAAGGAAATTTCTTAACTTTTATTACCTTGATAAAAGAGATTATTCTCTTGGCAAGTGGGAAAACAGTTACTTCCAAGGCTATTCTGAAGTGCTTTTCAGAGGCCCAATGTGAGGATGTGGCTTAAACTGAACAAGTGATGATTCACACATCATAAGTGACATGGAACTTTCTATTTGACTTTGGCAATAGAAATTCCATTAAAAAATTAAAGAGTGTAGTCAGGTACAGATAAGATCCATAAAATTTCATAAACAGTAACATTAAACCAAGAAGGTGAATGAGAAGTTCAGAAGTGAGCCTGGGTATGCATGCGCTACTTTGGAGGGATGGGGGCCTGCTATCGGCTGACTGATACCCGGGCCAGGCTACCAGGGAGGCAGCAGCCTTAGGAAGCTCTGAGAGCAGCGGAGAGAACAGGCAGGCACAGACCACCGTAACTGAATACAGATACCCTCTCATTTACATGGCTAATAAGGAGCTAATCACTCATGGCCAGGTTTTTCAAAATGAGTACTGACTACAGAATATATATAAGAAATGCCAAGGAAATTAACACCATGCAGTCTAAGTAATGTCTCAGCAAGTAAATTAATGTTACTTCACTCCAAAAACACCGCCTGTGTGTAGCCTAGGAAGTCTCAAATGAGACAAAATGTTAGCCATTTTTAACTTCTGTAAAAATGTTGCCAATTAACAAGATTGGGAAATCTTCTTGAACCCTCTGAAGTACCTGAGTAAATATTTTTTCAAGTGAGAGTTCCAAGGACTTTAATGAAATTTCCAAAGAGTTAAATAGTTCATAATGCTTTAAGGAGACCACTGGGGCTTTTGGAGTCTGTTTCTTTTTATGGTCTCTGATTGGATGTGGGCTATTCATGGAATTTTCTGTGATGAGGAAAATGCTTTATATTTGCTATGTCCAGTCAGTTGCCACTAGGCACTCATGTCATTAAGCACTTGAAATGGGGCTAGTGCAACTGGGGAACTGAACTTTTTATTTAAAGTAACTGAAACTGAAATTAAAAGTCATATGTATAAACAACGAAGCCCTACTGTATAGCATAAGGACTGTATTTAATCGCTGCTGCTGTTCAGTTCTTAAGTCGTGTCTGACTCTTTGCAACCCCATGGACTGCAGCGCTCCAGGCTTCCCTGTCCTCCACAATCTCCCAGAGTTTGCTCAAACTCATGTCTGTTGAGTCAGTGATGGTATCTAAACATATTCAATATTCAAAAATTCATATTCAATATTCTAACTATATTCAATATCCTGTAATAAACCATAGTAGAAAAGAATACAAAAAAAATCACTTTGATGTATTGCAAAGTATTGCAGAAATTAATAAAACACTATAAATCAACTATACTTCAATAAAATAAACAAAAAAAAATAGTCATATGTGACTAGTGGTTATCAAACTGGGAAGCCTAGCATCTAGAGACCAGAGGGTTTCAATTTTTTTAAATTCTCATAACTTGGATAAAAAAGTATATTTCTTTATCAGAAGTCATTCCAGCTAGGCTTTAAAAATATATATATATATATTCTAACTACAGATACTAGTTAAAAGTAAAGTTTACATCAGATTCATAGTTTTTTTTCCCCCCAAAGAACCATTTTGAAAATCTGTTAAGAGAGAGAGGACTTGTTAAAAGTCCAAGACGATATTATGAGATTCTCATAATCCTAAGTGCCATGATACATCTGTAGAGATATACCGAACAAGCATCATGTGAGTGCTGAGTCTTGTATCTTGTCCAGGACAAGTCACTTACCTGGCATCAGCTTCACTGTAATATTCTCTTGCCACTATGTCTTCAAACAGTTCACCTCCAGTAACTCTGTGAAGACAAACAAGATTACATTAAAAAAGAAAAAACTAGGCATCAATAGATTTTCACCAATGTTGATATAGAATATTTGTTTTCATATTATTATATAAACATAAAGTATAATAAATTATTATAAAAACATAAAGTATATTAAAATATTATAAGACTCCATCAATTCAGTTCAGTCGCTCAGTCGTGTCTGACTCTGAGACCCCATGAACGCATGCAGCATGCCAGGCCTTCCTGTCCATCACCAACTCCCAGAGTTCACTCACAGTCATGTCCATTGAGTCGGTGATGCCATCCAACCATCTCATCTTCTGTTGTCCCCTTCTCCTCCTGCCCCCAATCCCTCCCAGCATCATGGTCTTTTCAAATGAGTCAGCTCTTCTCATCAGGTGGCCAAAGTTGAAGTTTCCACTTCAACATCAGTCCTTCCAATGAACACCCAGGACTTATCTCCTTTAGGATGGACTGGTTGGATCTCCTCGCAGTTCAAGGGACTCTCGAGAGTCTTCTCCAACACCACAGTTCAGAAGCGTCAATTCTTCGGCGCTTAGCTTTCTTTATAGTCCAACTCTCACATCCGTACAGGACTACTGGAAAAACTATAGCCTTGAGTAGATGGACCTTTGTTGGCAAAGTAATGTCTCTGCTTTTTAATATGCTGTCTAGGTTGGTCATAACTTTTCTTCCAAGGAGTAAGCATCTTTTTATTTCATGGCTGCAGTTACTATCTGCAGTGATTTTGAAGCTCCCCAAAATAAAGTCTGCCACTGTTTCCCCATCTATTTCCCATGAAGTGATGGGATAAGATGCCATGATCTTTGTTTTCTGAATGTTGAGTTTTAAGCCAACTTTTTCACTCTCCTCTTTCACTTTCATCAAGAGGCTCTTTAGTTCTTCTTCACTTTCTGCCATAAGGGTGGTGTCATCTGCATATCTGAGGTTATTGATATTTCTCCCAGCAATCTTGATTCCAGCTTGTGCTTCCTCTAGCCCAGCGTTTCTCATGATGTACTCTGCATATAAGTTAAATAAGCAGGGTGACAATATACAGCCTTGACGTACTCCTTTTCCTATTTGGAACCAGTCTGTTGTTCCATGTCCAGTTCTAACTGTTGCTTCCTGACCTGCATGCAGATTTCTTAAGATGCAGGTCAGGTGGCAGGTCAGGTGGTCTGGTATTCCCATTCTCTTTCAGAATTTTCCACAGTTTATTGTGATCCACACACATAAAACTCCATATGGCTGATTTATATTCATCTAAACATTTTCCTTTCTATTTGCTTACACATCACTAGATCCTGGACACACACCTTTCTGTACACTGTAAAAACATTCAGACACATCTCTCATAGAAAACAGTTTCTACAAAACTCATCAATTCTCCAAAGATTAACTAAGGTCTGACAAAGTGTGTGCAAGCATTCAGGAGTATTTTCTGAACAGAAAGAGAAGATGATACGTGTCATGGATGTAGAGTGTGAATTTGCAGGCTGTATTTTTTGGAGGGGATCGTTTTTTAAACTGGAATGGACATGTCTTTGGGGGCTGGAGGCGGCCTTCCAAAATGCACGTCACTCAAGGGCTGAGAGCTCACTTTTCTGTGTGAAAACGCCCTGGTCTCCTCGTTCCAAGTCTTCACCAGTAAACCAAGACCCAGGTTTTTGCGATGTCCTGGGAGTCAGCGGTGATCCCTTTCCAGCCAGGAAGGAGTCTATCTGTCTGCCCTTCTTAATAAAGTGAAGACTTCCCCACAACCCAGCAACTGGGTTTGGTTACTCCAGGAAGTTCATTCAAATCATGGACTTTGAGGCTCTCCAGTGAAGGCGATATAACTCTCTTTGGGGTTCATTTCTTTTCCAGGTCTGATAGATATAATGATTTGGGGCCAGAATTCCTTAAGTGGTGATTCTCTGGCTTAGGCTTTTTTTCTCCCTGCTTAAACAATGTTTTTAAATTTTAGAGTCACAAAATTTTGTAGTAAAATTTTTAAAATATGGAAACATACCAAGTCCTCTCCTTATCTCTTGATCCCAATTCCACTCTCCGGAATAAACTAATTTTAACTTTATGTGTGTCCTTTCAATTTTTTGTAGGTCTTTTAACATTTATACTTCTCCCTTTGCATATGCAAACAAAGAACACTTATCTCACTAAAGTGCAAATTGTGCAATCACAAAATTAGGTTACTTGTGTTTTTCATTTTACATTAAATCATGGGCACTCTTTCATGTCAGAAGCATTTTTCCCCTATTAAACTAAGTAGTGTGTGTGTGTGCATGCATGACTGTGTACATCTTTGAGAAGATTTCTAAAAGATAAATTCTTATAAGTAAAATTACTGGGTCGAAGAGTACCCACATTTAAAATTTTGTTGGGAAGGCAAACTATGCCAACTTTGTTGGGAAGGCACATTATCTTCCCAAATGGTTGCACCTCCAATGCTGTGAAAGTACAGACAGGCCCCCGATATAACTAATGATGGTTATGGTCAATTAACAAAAATGGCTATCTAATTGGGGAAAGGTTAGCTCACGTTAATAAGAATTTTATTATGTGTGAAACGAATCATTTTCTTGTAATTGTCAGTCATTCGTTCCTTATTATGATCTGACTTGATTTTAAAAGAAAATTTCTGTCTTGGAGTTTCATCTTAAAATAGCTAACATTTATCAAGTGCCTACCGTGTGCCACACAGTGTGCTGAGCTTTAAATTCGCTGAGAAACCCTCATAATTCATGGTGGTTTTACTACTAGCCCAGCTTATTGATGAGAAAATGGAAGCACAGAGAGGTTAAGTAACTTGCCCAATTTTACATGCCCGAGTGGCCCAGGCGGGCCGTCCGCTCCACAGCCCACACTCTGAATCACTGCACAGTGCAGCTTTCTCCGTCACCACACTGTCCATCGTTCCAGAGGCTTAGAAGGTAAGAGTCACTGGTCAAGCATCGGTGAAGGTGTAAGGCTTGCTGTATGCGAGTGTGAGATAAAAGTACCCTGAAACTGTTTTCTTGTTCCTGTTCTTGTTTTCTTTTTTTCTTAAATTCTGAAACATCAAATGAAAACATTTTCTAGAGATCACCAGTTATTATTCTCTTCTGTATTTTCCTCTCCTAAATGTAAAGATGTGATACTAAAAACTACAGATTTGAAAGTTTATGTAATGTTCCCCCAGATCCATTGCATTGTGGATACTTGTAAGTTCTTTAATGTTGAAGTTACAACTTTCGATTCTATTGTTTTTAGATATAAAATGGACATCTAAGATTATTTAAAGCTTCATAGATGCAGATGTAGAGAACGGTGTGGACATAGTGGGGGAGGGAGAGGGTGGTAGGAATTGAGAAAGTAGCACTGACATATAGACACATCATGTGTAACATAGACAGCTAGTGGGAAACTGCTGTCTGACAGAGAACCAGCCTGGTGCTCTGACGATCCAGAGGGGTGAGACCAGGGGGAATGTGGGAGGCTCGAGACAGAGGGGATATATATATATATATATATATATATATATATATATATATATATATATATATAGTTATGATTGATTTGCATTGATGCAGGGCAGAAACCTACACAACACTGCAAAGCAATTATCCTCCAATTAAAAAATAAGCAAGCACAAGGAAAACAAAAAAAAATTCCTGTAACAACAGAAAAGCGTCACATAAGCTTATTATGAAAACTACGGTTACATATACATGTAACTGCATTTACTGGCACAGCTAAGCTTTTCTCCCAGTTATAATTTATGATAATTTGTGCCCTAGACAAATTGTAATACAAAGTAATTAAATATTAGAGAGAAAGTTAATTCCAACAAATCTACTGTCTTTGTAATGATGATAACAGTTTTGTGAGATTTCTTTCTTTGAATGTGACCAACATACATATGATACATACTCATATTTATCCTTGTTTCTAACCACAGGTACCAAGAAAATCTGTATATATTACATACAATCTTGGATTATTAAAGTGCTTAACAAATATTAATTAAAAAGTCTACTGTCATTAAGAAAATTGCTGCTGCATATATAGTAGCTCCTTAAATAGATTACCTGCTCCATGAGAACTGCTGGATCCTAAATTATTAATACTAGGATCAGGATTTACGGATCTTTGTTACCTTAGTACCTAGCCTAGCAACTAAGAAATAACATTTATTCAATTAATGAGTGCTGAAATAATGATTAAATGAATTAACCAAGTCAGAAAACTATGCTACCCGTCTACTATTACAAGTTTAGAATTTACATGAGCTGAAGAAGAAAAAATAAATCCCACTAAAATTTAGCTACACATGATGGTAGGTTTTATTTCTTGAGGGTTCATATCTAAAGAAGAATACTGAAAAATCAGGTATAACTATTAAACATATTAAATATAAGGGGTATAGAGTTCTATATTGAGTTGGAGATTAAGTAGTCAACTCTCTCAAAGTACTCTTTCTTATTTTCCAGCATTCATTTTTCTCATTGTTTAAAAATATCCTTGTGCAGTGAAGCCATTTTATCATTTTGACTATATGTATGACAAACATCTGGGAAGGCAGAAATGGAGTTCTAATAGAACACAATGCCTTAAAAAGAAACTACTGGATTTTTCTATACTCACATTATTTGTTTAATAGAGCACAAATTTAAGCAGGAGTTATTACAGATTTTGGAAAATTTTTAGTGTGTGAAGTTTCATAAAATTCACAAATTAAATCAGTCTGATGAATAAATTGTTTAATTAATTAGAGATTTTGTGAATAAATTGATGTTAGGGATCTGTATGACATGAAGCATATCGATTATATGTTTGAATCATTAACTATCATTCATGAACCTCCAGAACATTAGAGCTTAACAGGAAAAAAATAATTCTGGACGTATGAAAAGATGAGGCAACACATATCTTAGAGATGAGTATTTTTGTTGTTGCTTTTGTTATTTATTGAGATGCTGAATCATTCTCTGTTATCTAGCAAGAATGATTTGTGCTCCTAGTATATT